GAAGCAATGAACTGGCGTTACAACAGACGGGGCTGACAAATCCCGCCGATGTTCAGGAGCCAGCATATTCAACAGTTCCCAGGCTGGTTGCACAGTTATCCGAAAAACGCGTTTTCGAGTGTGTTGGCAGGCATGTCAAGCGGGATCAGTGACACAGTCGACAACAAGCTTGAAGCATTGTTGACACAAAACACACTAGATCCAGAGCAGCAAATCAGTATTGAATTGTCATGAGGGATATGAATTGAGTTTATTTCTTCAAGATGGAGTTGACAGTTGAATTAGTACACCGTATTCGCTTAGAAACGACAAACACCTTTTTTCTTTGAAAAAAAAGTTCAAAAATGGGGTGCATCGCGATCAAACAAACATGTTTTGGTCAATTTTTGGTGAGCGACTCACTTCAAGCACTTTTAATGAGGCTTAATGGAATACAGTGGGTTTCCACATGACAAAACTACTACATTCCTGCATGGGTTCCGTCATGCGAGGCCCGATTTCCCTGATGGTTACACTAGGAACGATTTAATCCGTTCCACACTCACTGAGGCCATAAAAAACTGAAAAACTGTACACTGTATTGCTCCCAGTTTTCAGAAAAAAAAATTGGGGATTTAAATTAAATTTCAGCACTGTATTATACCTTAGTACAGTAATTCTGACAAGACTGTGCTTCGAACTTTCTGAAATTTACAACTTTTATTGAAACGCAGAGGCAAAACTATGCCCTCCTTCTTCTCTCACCTTCCTCTAAAACTGTATTTAAATTCCTAAGTTTAAGACAATATCTTCTGAAATTGAGTTTCAGGGGGGTGAAAGCATTATGTAATGCACTTTCTTTCTGATTTTCCCTTTGAAATTTTTCTTCTCCTGGATTTTTTTGCTGAGCGGGTCTTCTGTTATACAGAGAATTGCAATAAATTTTTGGAGACTAGGAGAGTAAAACCATTTATCCTGGCTCAAATCAATGCAGCAGGTAAAGTGAAACAAGAACCAATGCAGCAAAATGTAATGCAAATTTCACATGTCTGTCAAAATTTAAAATTAATCCAAATTTTCTTAAGGAAAGAATTAGTGTCAAATCAGAGCCAAGTAAAAACCAAGTACAGTATAATCTCATTACAACAAACTCTCAGGGACTGGAAACAATTTTGTTATAATGAAAAATGTGTTATAGTGAGATTGATGGCTTTATTATCAGAAATACACTTCATCATCTGTAAAAGCATTTTATTGTCTAAACATCTGTAGTTGTTTTTTCTCTCTGCAATATTTGTACCAATAAATGTCTTTCACAAAATGGCTACATTTGAAAATGAATTTAAAAATTGGAGAAAGAACTCAACACAGGAGCGCATTAGGACAAAAAAGATTATCACAGATTTTGGTGGCTAGCTTGTCACTGTGCTTCCAGACTCCTGAGACCTTGGATATTAGATTTATCAGGATACATTCATTTTATGGGCTTCCTGCCAGTCAGCTAATGTAACCCATTTTTAACTTCCTGTATTTTTGAGTGTGTAATTCTGCTGCAGACACATTTCCTGTCCACTATTCGGGGATGATGAGCCTCAGGAAATTATCATATGAAAATTGGGGACAAAAATTTGGAAATTTGAGACAAAAATCTGAAAATTTGATTAAAAATTTTAAAATTTCTGGAAAAAATTCGTTATAACCGGAGAGTCAGTAGAAAATAAATTCGTTATAACGAGATTAATTTAAGCTGCGCCTTAAGGATAACTGCCGGGACTCCGAAAAAAATTTTTAAAGCAAAAATTCGTTGTAACGAGATTTTTTTTTAATGAGATTCTACTGTATTTCGAAAATTCCATTTCAATGGCAGCCTGAGGAAGTAGGAGTCAGAGCTTAGATCCCGCCCCACTTACATTTCCCCATTCATTGCTCAACGGACCTTACGGCATTTTGTTCATGATTTTATAATTTTTCCAACATTCAATGGAATGAAGTACAGTACTGTACTAAAAGAAAATACCCCCCTCAAGCCTTGTTCCTACGGAAGCCGGTGTCCAGACTTTCCCAACCTCGGGCAATTGACGACGGTCAGGGAAGCGAAAACGCACGTAACGAATTCGGTTCTTGAGGATTGATATAAAAAAAAATACTATACTTCATACGAATTCACATGACCAAAACCCACACGGCGCTCAGCGGACCGAGAAACTCGAACAGTCTCCATATTCTTGAATTTATTGGCCTTTCGAGGACCATGCGAATAATAGCATCCATTTGTAGTACTGTAGCACAGTATCTTACATAACACGGCTTATTTAATTTTAGCAAAAATCATTTCTTAAAAAATGTCCATCAGTCGCGCAGAAATTCAACAGTTGGTTTATCTGATTCAGATGAGCATTACATACTGTAGTACATTACCGTACTTCACCAGTGGACCTCTCATCCTGATGACTTCGCCAATAAGAAAAATGCAAGTGGACTCGCTATATAAAGAAATTCGGTGGAAACGGAAAATATCGTTGTAGTGATAATTTTGGGCCGCAGAGAAACCTCCAAAACATGGGTAGAGACCCTCATGGAACCAAAAACATTAACAGAGAAAAATAACAGGAAAAAACACAGAGAAATTCGTCGTAGAGATTATACCTGAATACAGTAAACGCAAAAAAAAGCTGAAGCTACTGCATTGAACTTTTCAAAAGCTTGAAAGAGGGTTCCAAGAAAAGCTTTCCACGATCAATGTGCAGTAAATTTTACTCAACTACAGCAATCTGATTTTCATGCTTCGGAGCCAAAAAATTTTACCTTCATCATCTCAAACATTCATTTATTCCTCCTCTGACCGTCAATTAAAAACTACCAAGAGGTACCAATGCACAGAGTTTTTGGCAATAAAAGAGGCAGGTGGTAGGCTGACACTGGAGAGTCTTGGAAAGGTTTTGAGATCGATTCAAAATTGATTTGCGGAATCTTGATAAAAAACACCAGGCTACACTAACCCTCACCCTTCAGCCCAAAGTTTCTGGAATTCATTTCAAAGCGAAATTTTAAAAATAAATAAATTAACTAACTAAAAATGTTTTATGATAAAATATCAACTGCATCGAAGATGCCAAGTGTACCTCTTGTTAATCCTGAAGATTCAACCCCACGACGCGATACTGAAACAATCCGATCGCATCAAGACTCCACGATACACCACAAAAACATAATTGCAAGCCGACAAACAGACATCCAACAATCACAAAAATTGTTTCCCTGGACGGGTTAATACAGAGAGAAAAATATACAGTACATTTTACATAATGCAACAAAAAGAAAAACTGGGACTCGCTGGTTTCATTTCATCTTTTATATCTTGAAGATAAATACTCATCAATTTAAAAGCGACGCATGATTCGGAAAATTTTGCCGTCATCCTAACGTGAACACAGAGCTACGCTCGTCTGCACACGAACGCTCCACAACCGTCATTGCATGGAACATTCTGATGAAAACCACGCACGAAACCTAACCACACACGGCACCGGAAGGCCACGCAATTTTCGGAGCAAAAAAAAAAAAAACCTTGAATCGAAGCTCGACTCTCTAAATTTCAAAAAAAAAAAAAAAAAAGTGCCAAGCAACATACACTGTAGCTAATCCAGACATTAGCAGTTGAGTGTCGAAACGCAGTCAAAAAGCTCACACAAATTGTTCGCCCAGTTTAATTACGATTCGCTTCATCACGTATATGTGTCACTATGAGAGACTTTTTGGGCGAATAGACCCTTGCCTCCACATTCAGCATCCTGTCAACTCATTCATGAAGTGATTTAAGGCTTCAAAATATCACCAATTACGATTCCTGCGATTATTACTTCTTTCTTCAAACAAATGGCCTCTTTCCTTGACTCAAAACCTCCCCAACTCAATGATTTGCTGATCCCTTTATATTTGACTGACATAGGTTAGTCGTTAGACTGTACAAAGATTGGCTGAGTTCTGGCAATTTCTGGGAACTTCCAAGTAAACGGCTATAAAATGATACTAGCACAATAAAATTGACAATTATCTCCGGTTCAAGCTAAAAAAAATTCTTTTGTTGGATAATAATATTTTTAGAAAAATTTTCATCATTCAAAAGAAAGAATAAATCATAGGACTGCATTTTAAAATATTAGGCTATTAGCGATCTCTTCGCCTTGAAATCGTTTGGAAATCCATTCGAAGTTTTTGTGCGACTGGTAATGTGTAATGCAGAATGAAATGAGAGCAGTTATTCGTAGCGAAAAACGAATAAACTCGACGAATGGATGACATTAAAATAAATTAAATTAGCTTATTGTATTACAGTACCAAGAACACAAGGTATGTAAAACTTGGTTTCACCAGGGGGAAAAAAATATTTCGGACCGTGTCTCACTCGCCCATTTTGAAGTACTGCACTGTGAACTGCGATTTTTGAAGTTCTGTACTGTGTCCTCATTCGGCGAAAAAATTGAGAATGTTTCATGAAGAGAACTAACTCACTCTTCAATTTCACCACACTTCTCTGCGCATTTCAACTTAAGATACGAGTACTGTACACATATTGAACGATCTATAAAAAATCTGAACATCGCAATCGTCCCTCAAGATCATGAAAACTTCGATTTGACCTCCTACGCGATCGTTTCGATCGAACAACGCCACAGATTCATTTCTGCACCACGACTTTGCGCATTTTGTAAAGAAGGAAATCCGCCTTACCTTTCGTAAATTTATGAAAGGCTTATTCCGAAAGAAAATCCGTTGAGATGACGCGGACGCAGTGGGGAAGGGTACGACTGAAACTAACCGGACTCCGTCACGCTTCATCTGAAGCACCCCAAGTGCTAATCGGCTTTCCGCGAGATCAACCACCGCACAACGCACTCACGAACTCAACCAAGACGGAATGCGATGATCTGAAAAAGAAGGCACAAAAAAAATCCCTATATGACAGTGAAATTCACACCCTTCCAGAGCCGGAGTAACGGAGTGAAGCGGGAGAGCAGCAGTGTGCAACGAAGTCATGTCATTTATTAAACGAACGTGCAAACTTCGAATGGAATTCATCGGCAGGAACAAAATGAGCTTCCGGATCGTGCCCGGACGAAAAAATTCCAGGTCAGCCTCCGGATGCTCAGTAACAGAGGTACGAAAAGAGAATCTCGTCCGGATGTGAATATCAGGACGACGAGCGCATCAAGGCCGCCACTGCGGGACTGAGGGCGCCAGATTTGACAGAATCACAGAATTCTTGGTCATGCTTCAGAGCAAACACAAGTTTGCGGACACGGCGCTTATATTCTTTATTCAGGATGCTATTCGTCGACCGAAAAATTTCTGCCTCCATTGACGAGACTATCTAGAAAAAGATAGCAAAAACCACACGCTGCTTCAATAGTTACACAGCGAAGTGCTAATATTTGACCTCTGATCAACGTATACCAGCATTTGAACAAGTTAAACTTATTCAATGCACATGATCCAGAGTTTCAAAATCAAATTTTTGCATAAGAACCTCTACAATGATCCCAAAATTACCACGTGTAATTTTATCCCATTTGATTTGAAACACAACAACTCTGTCAGCATTTTCCGGGGAAAATCGGTTATGTTGCTTATTATGTTGCTTTCTCCTGGTTCAACCAACATAATACTTCAGAAAATCAACCGAGACGCACAAATTTTGCAACAAAACTTTCATGACTCAGGACAATCAATCGAAGTGCTGGGTTCAAAATAATTCACCTAAATTCAAATGATAACAGAGGGACATACCACTTCATCCTCTGTTTTCAAGGAGTCTTTCAGCAACGTGATTGCTTTCTCCCGCATTACACATGTTTTTTCATCGTATTCCACGTCGAGTTTCGGACGATTCGCACTTCTCAACGCATGTTTCTTCCAAGACTTGTACACTTCAGTGGCGACCGAGGCTACTCGTTCATCAGAATGTTTTCTAAGGCTCATGATTACGGGCCCTGGAAGTACCAGACAAGTATACAATATAAACATAGAATCCTCAACTCGTCCAACGTAAATCATACCTATTTCAGTCTTCTTTATGATTTCAGCAGCCGGTCTTTTATTAAGGAAACAATGAAGACAGCGGAGCAATTGCGCGGGATCAGAATCTGGATTGGCAGCCAACGTTTTACAACGCTCTATTTCCTTTAATTTGATTACTCCCTAAAAATTGCGAGCTATAAGAGCACATCGTGTCGATTAGTCGAAAAATTTAACTCACGGCAAGATCTTCAATTCTCGTTTGCCTAAACTTGCTTATTTTCGGCTTTGGAACATCAGATCCTTTCGGTAAACGGATGACGAAACGATCCATTGGAAATCTGCCTTGGGCCCCAGAACTTTCTGATTTCTCATGAAGCTGACGGCAAATTATGCGCAGAGAAACTGCCTCACGCCTTCACGCAACGCATAAGGCAATCACGAGCAATATTGGCATTCGCAAGACACTATTTAGATTTCCTTGGCCGATGTCTGATACCTTGTTCGGAATATAGAGTATTTGGGACGCTCAACCTGGAAATTCAAATCTCAGCAAGTTCACCGGCAATAAATTCGCGGGCGTGGTACCCTAACCACGGATCAATACTGTCCCCCCAAACTCCGGCGCAGACTCCCTGTGCAGCGCTTAGCCACGTACGGTAGATGCCAACACACTGCACGTCGCATAGCACAATGTGTTAAAAAGGTGTCGCTACTATGGTAAACTGCACCCCCTGTCCACCCCATCATGGAGATCGGTATGGGTTGAATTAAATAGCAATAGAACGGGCCTCACATACCTTTATCTTTCAACTCTTTCATCCTTAAGATACTGTAGTTTTGCCAAGGACATACAGGTACTGCACTCAGAAAAGGATTTACTTGCTGTCCATGAATGATTGACTGTCGTCCACCTAAGCAACGGCAGAAAAATTCTGATATTCGGTAAACGGATCATGTTATTTAAATCCACTGATATAATTGTGACTCATTTTGTGCAAATGTGTACAGTATACGGTATCTTCTTATTCTTATTCATATTGAAATAGAGATAGGGCACTCATTTGCTTGTACTGTAATACAAAACATTGCTAGTCAATTTTTTTCTGCCGGCGCCTTCAAAATCAATTCAGAGAGGTAAAGTACTGTACAGTAATGTATATAATTTTCTAGATCTACGACACCTAGTGTTCTGTCTTACAATTATACCCGCCTCCTACCATTGTTCGGACTTCATACGGGCAGCATTGAAAACTGGCCCTTTGCACGGATCTTTAGGGACGTAGCCTCGTAGGACGTCAGGTTATATGTAGATACGAATTATGCGAACCTGGTTCGGATTACAGTTGAAATATTGAAATTTCGTAGCATACTGAGTAACAATTCATATGCAATTGTTGTATTCTTTAATACAGTGATCAACATCTTTTAATAGGGCTTTTAAAAAGTATATTCCCAGTGAGAATACTATTTACACTTGTATATCAACAGCACAATCTCGTTACAGAGAAGCGGATGCGACCAAGACACCCTACCCAATTTTAATCATAGAAAAATCGAAATACTGTACAAAACAAAGCGCATCAGAAAGTAAATGATGACTTCGAAGTTTCAACCGACATAAAATCAATTGTCGACTTTTTTTTAAATTGTTACACTACATTTTTTATGAAGGTGAAGATTTTCAATCTGATTCGAGAATGACATAAATTTTTAAATGATGAAAAATGTTATATCCGCTCTTCCCAGCACCCCTTTCGATAACAATAAGACATTCCTGGATTAGATTGCTGTTTCCTTACGCAGCATTTTTTACGTTGAATTCCTTTTCCCACACAAATACATTTCAAGTGATTTAATTTGTTCAAGACACCCACCGAAAGATCATGATGAACCAAAACTTTGTGTAAATTTTTAAGCTTTTAATGGAGAATTTAAAAGTGGTAGGCATGAAATTGAAATAATCTCAACAATTTATTGCACCTAACATTCCGAGTTTCACAAATTTTGACAAGAATATGCAAAACTAAACCCTTTCCTTATTTCATCAATTCCACAGATAAAGTTAAAACGTGATAAAATTTAAGCGCTTTCTGCAAATTTGTTTCATCAAGTTAAAAAATTTCCTGATGTAAATCACTTCCCCCTCCCCTTGAAATTTTTGACATGTGAATTTTTTCTCGCGTGTGTATTCCCTTTATACAGGGAATGACTGTATGCATCTGCATCAGGTGAAAGGAGTAACTAAGATCTAAAAGATGAAAAACAGTATTACGCAAAGCCAACCTAAAAATAAAATATTTCCCAAGATCGGTAGGCCCTCAGAAAGACTTATAAGAAAAAAATCCTTACTTTTTTGTTCTCCAGAAACTTGCATTTCACACCAAATTACTCTTCCGCCTCAACCATCAGGTAATTCAAGCAGTCAACGCCAACTTCGTCTCGGCGACTCACTTGAGCATTCGCATTCCTTCAAATCACGGCCATCTTATTTACAGAGAAAGTTCTCCCACCCCCACCTTCCCTAGATTCCCCGATGCCCGAAATTCGAACGAACAGCGCACTCATAAACATATGAGCTGATCACTTCAACCATAAGGTTATTTCGCAAGAAATAAAAATCATGGATTTTTCACCATTCCCCTCACGGGTCCCGTCCAACGCTTGCAGCAACTGCACACGAATGTCATACCAGATGCTTGAGAAAGTCTCACAGTAGAACAATGTCGATCTTCATCACCCGAATAAAATGAAAGCTGCAGTCAAGAAATCCATCCCAAGAGAACAATTACTCCGACAAGCATTAATAAAACAAAGAGAGGCTCACCGGAAAATAACGTCCAGAAGAAAACTCTTCATGAATATTACAGAGACAAGGTCAAATTAAACGTGAAACTTCAAAATCCAAAATTAGATTTTTCCTTAGTTGACTCAGCAGCACGGCTCATAATGTTACTGGCCAGATATGCCATTCCTGATCGCAGGTCTTCAACGAACACATTTTCAAGAAGAACAAATTCAGGATTCATCTTCAGAAGGAATGAGAAATTCCAGTCACGAGAAAAAAAGACCATAATATCGTTACCTACCGACAAAAAGCCGGACTGAGAAGCTCAGAAAATCACAGACATTCCCGTTTGTCCAAGTAAACCCCAGTCCAGGAACAGAAATCGACGAAGAGAAAAGCCGAAAAGCGGACAACAGTCCGCTGACGTCAAAGAATTCCCGTCCATGAAAAAAGAGCGAAGGTGACGATGGCAAGTAATTACGAAGAGAAAAAAAAAATAACGCGCATCTCAGGGAAGACAAGCAGCTTCATGTCAGAGTTACAGAGGTGAGTCGCATAGCTGCCTTCGACGACTATCGATGACTGCTGGCCAGCCGAATGGGCAATATTGAAGTTTCCGCATTTCCCGACAAACAAGATTTCAATTTTGACAGTCCTTCCACAACTTCGGGTGTTTTGTCAGAGGCAACGACTGACTGCATTTTTCCAGCGATTTCCGTCAAAAGCGGGGAAAGGGCCGCTTCTTCTCCGGATTCTGCAGAACGAAGTATAAGAAAATTACATGATTCAGGACCGAAAATCGAAACCTGATGTGGGTAACGGCGTTGAAAGAAGCGCAAAATCATGATACATAGGCTGGTTCAGGAGCGACTTGAATTAATTTAGCAGCGCTTTTTACAAGAAAATCCTTGGCCAATCGCAGGCTCAGATCAACTCTTACATATTGCTCTTACAATAATAAGCTGAGAGAAAATCAAACGTTTGAAAATTCCTGATTTTAAATTTAAAAGTCGATGACAACGTCACGCATGTCCCATCATACATAAAATTGATGGAAAATTCACATGCTTCAGTCGCCCCTGTGTACAAAATCATTAGACACATGCGACCTAACCAAATAATTTTGTAATATATTTGCATAAATTCAAAATAGAATCTTGATTCAAAAGGCTCTAGTTTTTCCATTCTTCCAAAAAATAATTCAGTACGACGAACGCTTAATCGGAAAATTTCTCTCGTTTACGAATGATTTCATAAAAATCACTTTTTTTTTTTATTCAGGCAAGTATTTTTGGAAGTCTTACCTCGCACGGAAACGACACAACACGTCATGAAATCCAGAGCTTTCACCCGCAACTGCAAATGCGTTTTGTACACTAGAATAGAAGAAAATTGATGAGGAGGAAGTCAACATCTCCGCTTGCTCAAAATCAAAATTTCAAGGAACTGATCGAACCAGATTCTCAAAAAATCCTGTCTTGGGAGTAGTAAACTTTCAGGAAAAAATGCCCATTGAATTTAGAGGATCTTCGTGAAACAATTCTTGGAATGAATATTTTTTCGAAGTTTCTACAGGTGTGTTACAGAAGCTACCGATAGCCTGACATTCAATCCATTTTCGCCCGTTTCTGTTATTTCTTCACGAATGAAGGTTTGAAAAATAATTCGTAGATTCATATTTCCCCGAACACTTCCCACCACTTTCCATCTGCCTCTGAGGTCGATATGTGGGTGACTTTTTGGGAAACCTCTTTTAATAATTAATCGATTCTACAACGCACCAATCAAGTGATCGCAAATTTTTGCGACCATTTCGACGATCTCTCGATAAGCGTCCCTCGGGTAATCCACTCCTCCGAATGCACCTTGCACGTCGAAGGCATCGTAGAAAACTACTTCCAAACACGAAGCTATGCGAAGCAACACACACACTGTCGATGATTTCACACGCTCGGCCATAACTAGGATCACTGATTTCGTGCTTTCCACATTTCGAGGACCAGACTTCCAAGCTTGCTGAACGGCATTCCACGCAGCACCGTACACCGAGGCAATACCCTTCGAATCCTTGACTTCCTCGTCATCACTACCATCGGTATCGGACTGTGGCTTGGACACAATGGGTTTGAGCAGTTTCCAAACGTCCTCGAACCTGTTGACTTTCAGAGCCTCGACGACAGTGCCTAAAGATAGGATGACATCTCGCCGGTAGGCTAGGCTACGATCTTTTTTCCGGGCTTCGTTCAGCAAAATGTTCACGCTTGTTTCGGCCTCTTGAACAAGTTTCGGTGTTCCAAGCATCGTTTCCCTGCAAAATAAAAATTGAGAATTTCAAGATAACACGCGGGTTCATCTCTTGAAAACAGATGAGGTGATCGAACATATTTGAAATAAATGAATATCAAACACGCTAAAGAATGGTATTTCTAACATCAACTCCAGATTTTCCATGTCTTCCACATCAAACTATAAATAAAAACGGAGAAATTAGGTTCTTCTCGTTGTCACACGCTGTGCATCCAGCTAAGTTACTTCATTAGCCATCACCGAGGTGTCGCTTGCGTGTTTCATGTTCATCGCAGCTAATCATAGTCATAAGTAATATTTTCGGCAATATCACTAATGACAGTCAACGATTGGATACGCGAGGGGTTGGGCAAAAACACGAAGTGTTACTCCTAAGTGAACCAAGGATTATCGCCTTGGTTTGTGATTCATTTCTACAGAAGGAAACGACTAAATTTGCAATTGATTCGTAACCGTTCTAACATTTAAACGTGAATGAAAGTATCGTATTCTACCTTGCATTACGCTAAATATGAAAATTGCGCAATCAACGAATGATTCAGTATATCTTAACGAATGATATTTTCTTCGCATACCTGCAATACTTCGACAAGGAAACCAAAGCTTTCAGCAAATCTTCTTTCCCTGTCCACGATCGTCCATCGATGGCAGAATTTAATTCCGGAACAAAGTATTCCATTGTTATCGTATTGATCTGATCACCAACCTTTTCAGCCATCGTGCCTATAACGCGGCCAGCCTTTTGAAGAGGAGAAAAAATTCGGTTAAACCAATTTTTACAGTGAACACAAGCAATAGAATGGATTTCACCTGGGCTTTCTTAGTCCAGGATTGGGAATGTAAGCCGATATCGATCAATTTTACAATTCCGGCGAAATGCGTCATAATTCCTGCGGCGGTGCCGGTCATCGCTGCTTCATTCCACACTTCTGACCAGATCTCAACACTTGTTTCTGATTTCTTTGACGCAGTCCCGGGCGTGTTAACTATAGGATTACAATAATATCAGATAAATTAAAGCTGAAGTACGCTAAATATAGAAAACATTCGGAATGTTAACATCACTGCGTGAAGTCCGTAAGAAAAGTAATTGGACCAATGATTACGCACTGAAACAAGCAAATTCTTCCAACTCTTGTAGACTTCTTCTGCTAGTTTCTGAGCGGGTTCCGTACTAGCTCTAGTCTCAACAAATCTCTTCGTTGCAATATCGCATCATAAATACCGCAAAGAAATTTTGAAAATCTATTTTGACACCCTATACTCCACTGTTTTTGGAGCTTTCGAACAGGTGTCGCAGGAATCGCCAACTTCAAACTTTAAAATGTGACCTGAACAAAATGACACTTTCAGGCGACGGAGGTGAAAAAATAATTCACGATGGACAGGACAGCAACAAATTTCGTAGCAAGTCTTACACAAATAAAATGGTCGAAAAACAGGTTCGCAAAAAAATCGTAGTCATCACATAAAATAAGCAATATCTGACCTTGTGCATCAGGACCATGCATAGCAAAAAATGCCAATGGCATTGACCAGTTCACGTGATGGTCGGTGACAGTCGGACTGTTCCTGTAAACTGCCCTCACAGTCATCCCACATATCATATGGGATAACTCATCCTCTGAGGAAATTCAAAACATGCACTTCTGCTTTAAAGAAATACGAAAAAAAGTAACTCACCATCTTTGTCGAGATACCAGGTTTGCAACTTCTCACCCAACTTCTGGAAAGAAGAGGGTCTTGCAACTTTCATCAACTGTCCAATTGTGTTCGCAAAATGTTTCCTGATGGTGATATTTCTGTCGTTGAGGTTGCCAACCAGGGCGGCAAGCAATTTTCCAGAAAAGGATTGCAAAATCTGGTAGCAGAGAACCGGACTTTAGAAAACTCAATCAAGCCACAATTTTTTTTTTACAGGTTTACCGTCGGGTGATTCTGAATAAGGAGCGTTACGACGATCGAACAACCAACTTTCGTCACAAGACCGCAATTGCTCTTCATCAGGTCCGTCAAGGGGGGAATCAATTGCTTCATCGAGTTTTCGTCGACCAAATTGATCATCTGAAAGAAAAAAATAAAGAGGAAGAAATCATTGAGTAGATCTCTATAATAACCGATCATCAAATGACCAATCGGAGAAGATGAATCTCATGCAAAGTTGAAAGTTCGATTGGAAATGCGACCGTATCAGAAAGTAAGCTATAGAAGAATTTTTAGATAGCTCACACACACGGTATACTTGTAGGCCTTCCACGAAAGTTAACCCTGAATTCCGGCAGGAATTTTATCGAATCAACAGTCAAAATTGGCGTTTTACAAGGGTTTACAAATGTTGAATAAAAAATAAAGAGGTGTTCTGGATTCGGAGGAACCTAGCAAAAAAACTTCTCGCGTTCTCCGAGACGCGGTTCGTGAGGCATTTTAAAAGTAATTTCGTAATCGGAAAACGTTCGTCAGAAATGTTGAGAAAAAATGTACCTTCTTGATAACATCCATTGTGAGAGACGAATTCAGCGATTCAATTCTCATCCCATCGAGAGTCTCCTGCCAACCCTGATCAGTGCCGCCCATTTTCACAGACATTTCGTTATACATCTCGGGTTCCGTCTCTCCCCGGTACTTCAACAGCGCAGGAATTAATGCGTGCACTTGTGACTTCAAGGCCTTGTTGTGCATATCGTTGCACAGTTCTTGTATGCAAAGGATGCTGTGGGAAAAAGAAGTCACACCTCAAGCTAAAAAATGGTTCTACAATCAAAATTGGAAAACATTTCGAACGTCAGCAAAACCGGACATTCTGGAATGCCCAACAGATGTAGCCCGAATCAATGCCCTCAAAAACCCTGTTTCAGACCTAACAAAACGCAACACGATCCGAACGACCATCAAGTGATAGCAAATGCACCGCGAAGTTGCGCGCGTCGACCAAAAGAGACAGTTGAAAGGAACAGAATTTAAAAAGAGTTTTGCAGATGCGGTTTACTTCCGAACTACAAAAAAAAGTAATTCACCCATCCAACGATAAAATAATTACCTGCACTGCCTGGCCTCACCAACAGTGCTTGTCAATCCGGAGTTGACTAGAACAGGCATGGTCAGATCCACGATCCTCTGGGCTTGTGAACAAGACGTGGTCGCTGCGTTTACAACTGTTTTCTTGTAATTCTTCAACGCTCTTTCTCCAGCCTTCCTCACAGATTCTTTCACATCGTCTACGCACCGAAAAAGTGCCCGCCACAGGTTCCCAATAGCATCCACGGGTAAAAACTTCGCCGGCGGCTTTGACCCCCAGACTGATACAAAGGCTGAAGAAGGCAGCTAGGACCATGAAAATACGAAACAAATCATACCCAACATCTTTAAAATTTATATGGATACCATTCGATACTACAAGAATTGCATCTACAGTATTTCCTTTCTATCCTATCTTTAATATACAGTAGGTCCTTGCTTGCTGCTCGATTTGATGCTTTAAGGGATTGTCTTCACCTAACCAAAAACCTTTTTTCCGATGCAGACATGGCAGAAATTCAGTTAGGTCTAAAACCGTTTACGTGAGAAAATTCAAAATCGGCTGCATTTCGTGGAAAATACATGCGAAGAATGCATTTACCGTACATTACAGTACGATAATTTAAAAAAGAAAAACTGAGTAAAACAAGATAGACAATTCAACCAAAAGATTCAAGACGTTGGAAATTGAGCATTACACCAAGAAGTTCAATTTCAAGAAATTATCCGAAAAACAGGGAAAAAAACTTTGATTTGACCAATTAATATTGTCTAACTCTAGCCTAGTCTTAAACTGACAAACGCATTTATTACTGTCGTAATAACACTACAAAGAGAATACGTCATCTCAATTTGCTCCACGGAATTTAGACTGGTTAATTGAAAATGTTGAAGTTTCGATCATTCCGGATATTATGTAAATCCCTCGCTACTCTCAGAACTGCTTTTCCAATGTGGCAATGTGATTGAACATGCATGTTCCTGTTTACTTCAAAAATTTCTGAAACCACGTGCTGATTGAGACCGAAGAACGTCGTAACTTGAATTTTTAAAATTAAGATCAATCTGGTAAAATAAAAATCGTTACCAGCAAGATTATTATGGCAATGTGGGATTTGCCAGTTTGAAATAGTGAATTTGGCATGATTAGTGGAACAATACTCTAGAAAGAAACTTAATCAAGATAGTGCACCTCTGACTTAAGCAACAAATCGTGAAGCAGACAACAATTATCTGAGACGGATTTGTTCAATTGAAAAATACCCAGCTTACTCTAAGAAAAAACAAAAAAGGCTAGATTTGTTTGTGCTTCCATGTGAGTCCAAAATTTCCGAACACAGAAAAGCATGCGACTTACAGCTCGCAATTTTTCAGACGTGGCTTCACTGACCGCATCAGAACTTGCTTTCCCGAGCACAAAATTGGCTATTTCCTCAAAATGCGCAGCATCTGAGAGTTGTTGCTCAGTTAACGGCACATGACGAAGGATGAGAGAATGTCCCGTATTGTTAAGGAGATCTGTAAGAGCGTCGCAACACGCTTCTCGACGACGCCACTGACCATCTCCGAGACCGCTTAAAATTTCCAACAGGATGTTCACAAAATCTTCTTGCTCCTGAAAATCACGAAGATAATTTTGAAACAATGGTATCGTTTCATGAAATTTGCAGGTCATGCGCAATTTCGGTTTGAATGAGACAGAAATAAATTTCGTCGGGATTTTACAGCGAGATTTTATTGGGAAAAAAAAGTTTCACAAAATCCAGAAGTTGTGCATAGAAGAGGAACATGATCATTGACAAACTCATATAGACAACCACTTAAATAAAGAGAAAACTTTCGATGATCTCATTGTGGTTGTGAATGAGAGTATTGAAAGATACAAGCGTTCAAGAATTTCCAAATTTTGCTCATATGGAAAACAAGTTTTAAATACGTTTTTGAAGAGGCTCTAATTCGAAAAATAAATCAAATTACTAACATTTTCATCGTCAGAACTTTTAATAAAGAAAATAAGAACTTACAACTTTTCTTGTTTCTGGAACTATAACTTTCCACACCGCTGTCATGGCCTGCTGAGCCTGGGGATGTGGATCGAAACGACCACTGTACAATTTCGGAACTAAAATTGCAGCATGAGCTTTCAGCTCTACCCCATTCGTCGAATTTTCCGTGAACGCTTGAAATTTGAAAGCCTGCAGCGTACAGAAAAAAAGAGCAACAGTAAAACGCGATTGCTCTCATTCCAGAAATGCAAAGTCCTTACTTTCTTCGAGTGAAGCAACGCATGATTACTGACAACATCGAAAAACGAATACACAGCCTGGAGATTTGGCACACATGATGCGAGATGGCACAATTCCTTGTAGGCGGTAATCCTCGCACTAAGGCAGATCAAAATTCAACCGTTCGAAAATAGAAAAAAAATGAGAGTTGCTCACAAACCTTCCGGAAGATCCACTTATCGTGGCATCTTTCAAGACTATTTGAACAGCATCGATTTTGCCTTCCCTATTTCCGACACCAAAAGCATTCATCAGACTTTCATGTAATTTCACTCGGTCAGCTTCTTTGCCAATTCGGTGCACCATCACAACACCTTTCGCGGCCAAATCTTGCATAAAGTCTACGAAAGTCAATTAAATTTTGCTTTCAAATCATCACGAGAGAATTAAATTTCTTCATCACCATTGGAGTCAGCGAAAAATCCGACGAAGGCTCGTTGAAGTCGCATTAATCCTCCCTGCACTGAAGGTTCGTCCGAAAAATCAAAAACTAAGCAGATGAGAGCAACGCAAATGGCCTGTCTCGCTGACGGTTTTTCCAATGTGCTGCTCAGCTTGAGCAAAGTTTCCTGCAGAAAAAAAGGAAACGTTGAATTTAATTTTTAATCCCAAAATCGATGGCTGAAAAACATCCACTGAAGAGAAACAAGATTCCGAAATTCCCTCATAAAATATTTTTCCGAAAAACGATGCAATATTTTCGAATTCAAAGATTAATTAGGCACCAGATCTTAGAGGGATTACTGTACATTAAGCGTCAAGATTCCAAATAAATTCTTTGCAGTGGGACCCTTTTAATCCAGATGAATAATAATAATTCACGAGTTCAGTGGAAAGCGATATTGTTTTAATGAGTAGATGTCAATGCCAATCATAAATTGTATTTTGTTTTCTTATATAGTCAGCCCAAGATGCAACTTCACGGTTCCTTTTGTGTACGCATGGCTACAATAAACTTGGAGAGTGGATCGCGTACCTGTAGAATTAACATAAAAAATGGCTTATTGCTCTTGTGGGAAAGACAAAATCAACAAATTATATTCAGAAGTATCACTGAATTTCTGTAAACGAGACAAAAAATAAAACGCTTAAAAGCAACGTCATGAACTTCTACAAACTCCTAGCACATACGGAGTCCACATCGATCAGGGTACCAGAAAAAAAATCGTTGTACAGAGAATTTTGTAGAACCCCTATAACATGGCGGAGAAGCCTATGGCACCAAAAAATTCTTTATGCAGAGAAAATCGCTGTAGAACGAGTTCATCAGCACAGGTGAACTTTCAAATGAATTAACACGGACTTGACAAACGAATCGTTATGCAGATAACGTCGTTATAGAAGAAATATGCATTGGAATCGCAGAACGTCAGCTTTAGAAAAAAAGGAAAAGAGGTAGGAATAACATCGTTGTAGACGAATCCGTCGAGTTTGCGTCGCTTTCAAAAAACTCATCATATCCTTACCATCGCCCATGAAACATTGTGTTCCCCAACAACGTTGACGCCTTTCCCGTTGGATCCTTCCCCCGAATCTTTCACTTTGTCCACGTCCTTCTGATTAACGAAGGTCCTGGCACAGCAAGAAATGGCTTCACCAACAGCGTAATGCAGTTCGGCATCCGTCGCTTCAATCGCTAGTTTTATCAGTCCATCCATCACGTAGCGTGCATGTGGAAAGTGCAGGTTTCCAAGGCAGATCATGCCACAGCAAGCTGCACTTGCGTCTCTCGTCTGCGAGAAAATTTACAGTATTGTATACCGATTAAAAATTGTGCTGAATTTTTCTTAAAGCGGGAAATTACGTGATCAGGATATTATCAATTCCACGAATTGACTAAACATGTGCTTCGAAATGATTAATACTGTATGCTTTAAAAATACAGTTCCAAGATAATCGAAAAAGAGAGGCATCCATAGAAGTCTTCTTGGAAATTTCGAACCTTTGTAAACGTGAAGATGAGGGTCTAAGAATGGCTCCTTAAATTCTCGCCAGCATCGCTATGAAACTGGTCAGATCATGTGGGGCTACGAGGATGAATTCTGAAGACTTTAACACAGCACAGTAATTTTAAAAGAATCACTAATAACTCAGATACAACAAAATTTACTTTCAACAAACGCGGGAAATTGGAATAACCCAGGGCAAACACAGCACAGTACCTGTAATGGTAGTTTAGAGTTTCCAGCGATTTCCAGCAACTTGTCGACCACAAACTTCTGAGTTTTCCCGTTCTCATTTCCATCGCTCTCTTCACTTCCGACCGGAAGAGCCAAGGGGCCACTACACCCCAACTTGGCGAAAGCCATGCATGCACCAGCCATCATCAGCAGCTGCGTATCAGTCAATGATTCCGCTACAAGAAGAACAAATCAACTACAATAGAGGAAGAATCGAAGTTTCTCCTCTTCCAAAAGCTTGTTTTTGGTAGAGTCAGTCAAGTACTGTACTGTATCCCCTAAATCCAATGCTGCCCAACATTAACTTTTCATCCGTCTCGCCGTCCCTTTCCAACCATTTTCAAGGTGGCACCATTCAAAATACAAATTGAAGGACGAATTTAAAACTTCAAAATGTAGCTCCAACCTTCCAAGATTCTGTAAGGATTTGCTTTGATTCAATTCATAGCACTTCATTAAATTTGAAACTTTTCATTCAGTAGAGGAAAATTAGGAAACTCACAAATTACTGTTTATTGTGACTCTCAAGGACTATCCACCTCTGCAAAGTGGCCCTGGGCAAAAAAAAATGTGGCCTAAAATGTTAAGTATTGATATGGCCCTTGGTAACAAACTGAGTTCAGCAGCACTGCCTTTATCTCTCACTCAGTAATGTATAGAAAAAAATAAGTACAGTATTACTGAATCCAATCTGACCAAAACTGAAGAGACCCCAGTCTAAAATAAGACCCGACGAAACGGAACCAAAATGAGGTGACACCCACGTATCGTGGAAGAAAATCGACAAGTCATTACTTTGGCTGTCCAAGAGAAGAGAGAAAGCCACACGCATTTTTTGAAATTACAGAAGGGGATCATAATTACCCAAAAATGAAGTGAACTGCCGAATGACAGGAGCGCTTTGAAGAAGATCTGCATCCATCTCCGGCATACTCAAGGCCGGATCCCGGAGGCTCTTGTTCGCGCAAACGTCTTGCCGATACGAAACGCACAAGGCAAATGTGACCATACAACCATGCTTTTTATCCAAAGTCTGCGTGGAACAAGCCAAGTAAGTCAAGAACACCCGAAGACACAACGGTTGGTGAACAGGTAAACGATACCTTGTCTTTTTCCTCTATTGTCCGATATAAAGATTTGATGAACTCCAGAAACGCTTCATCGTTCAAAGCATATGCAGAAATAAGGCCAACAATTTCCGCAGCCGCTTGTCTCGCATTTGGTTTCTTGACACTTACAAGATCCTGTTGGATTAATTTACAGAGGTACAGATCTTAAACTCGATGTTCAAAAATATGAGGCGTCAACAAAGTTAATGGGATGTGAGGGATCTGTAAATGGAACGTTTCATCTGCAGCATAAGAGATACTGCAACATTGTGCATGAACCCTTCTCCAATTAAAAAGCAAATCCACCAAAAATACATTTTTCGCACTGCGCAATAGCCCTTCAACACCTAATAGAAGGAAGATTCAGACTACTGTACCTTGTAGAGATCGATGTTCTTGGCAAAAAAACTATTTGGCAGCACCAGCTCTGGCAGGGCAGAACACAGCTCTTGTAGCAAAAGCAAGCAATTTGTCTCTGAAGACGAAAGAAATAAAAAAAATGATTGATCCATGATTCTATCTTGATTCAAAATCATTAAAGTTTGCATCGTTCACCTCTAATTAAAGTAGAAAAACAAGTAAACCGATTTTTAAATTGCGACAAAGTTATTTAAAGCACGAACCAAACATTTCCGATTAAGCAAACTGGAAGGACAACTACGAAAACTTCAGAAAGCCTATGAAAACCTTTTTCATCAAATTCAATTCTCAACTTAGTCATTATATCCATACATTCCGAAAATAATCATTTTAAAGTTGTCCGATTTATATGTTGAACAATTATTCACATTTAATATTTGAAAATGGACTAAACTTATGGAACAGCTGTAGGGAAGGTTCCATTAATTTTTTGTTTGAAAAAACATACGAAGTTAATTTTGTTTTATGTTCTACCGACAAGGAAATCCTCGTTCGAGAATCTTTCAATTGGTTGGTTCACTCCGACATCGACAGGAGCTTGCGCTCAAATAAGTATCCACTCCAGGGTACGAAGAAAAAAAGACCGATGAAAAAATTAAGATGATTTCACTCACCATCACTTCCATTCACAGCACCAGCAGTTATCGTTTCGTGCAAAAACGCGGCATATGACGTAACGGATTCCGAAGAGGAGGTCCAAATGGTTTTTAAAAAATCTCTCACATCTTTTCCAATCCCAGGTAAGAAAGAAATCGTTCCACACGTTTCGTAGGAAATACACGCCCTAAGAAATTCGGCAGCAGCGACGCGAGAAGCGTAACGCTGAGCAATAATCTGAGGCGAAGTTCCAACAACGTTCAAATCCTCTGCCGTTTTCAAATGCTTCATCATTGTTTGGAATTTCGGAAATAAACTCGGGTACGCTTTTCGCAACTTATCTCCACTCAGGGCCTTCGGAAGTGGGTTTTTTTCGGGTATCATTTTCTGCATCAGCAAATGGGCCAGAGCCTCATCCGCGACTTGGGGGACCCTGAAAGCACACAAAAAAGGGCTCAAATAATTTCAGCTCGGCAAACATTACATGAAACAATTCTTTATATACGGGTCGCAAAACCAAATTAAAATAAAATGAAACTTGGGGACAGGAGTATGCAGCCCAAGCGTAGGAAGAACTTGTGAATACTCTCAACAGAACTCCAAAAATGGAGAAAAAATGGAATTAACTCCCACCAATAAATTTAAGACGGTCAGAAGCGCTGCTTTACAAGTTCTGGATGGGAATTTAAAATCGACAGAAGCGCAGCTTTACAAGTTCTGGCACGGAAATTGTTATGTTTAGGAAGTACTGTAAGTGTATAGCATCATCTCGAGTATCGCTCGCGCCCGAGTTTCTTAGGGCATTTTACTGCGAATAATTCCAAAATTTTTCGAGTGAAGATGTGACCTATACGCGCGTGAATGCACTTGGCAACCTAATACAACGAACACCAGAAGAGCAAAGCTGATTTATCCTTAATACAATATTTCAAACAAGACTATTTATATTTCATGCGCATGAGCGTATGAAGATTGAAAAAATGCATGGCTCCTTCCACGAGGAAAGACCCTAACATGAGCTGATTTCAAAGACACGTCATTTTAACGGAAAACTAAAAATATGACTTACGGGTCAGCAGCGGCAAGAAGCAGACGATGAGCCCGCTGAATACTGTCAGTAGGATAAACAGCAGCGATATACTTGACGCCGACAACTCGAACACGAGTCAGCGCGCTCGTCATCAAATTTGCGGCCATCTTCTGCGCCATCTCGGACTTCCTCCGGAGATCGTCCGACATTGCTTTCTCCAAATGATACTGATACACCGTGGTCATCTCTGTTAAACACTCCGTCACGGCTAGCTGAATGTTGACATCGTCTTCAGCTTCAAGACGATTCGTTAGTCGTTCGATGTAGAAAGGATTTTGGGCAAACACCGGTTTGTACCTTATGCAAAGCGTTCGGATTGCAACGTAAACGCCCGCTCTGATGTTGGCATCCTGAATCAGAATGAAATCACGTGGTTCTTTCAACTAACTCAATTTCTTCAAAATAAGGCAGGTTCTTTTTATATTTTCTTATGTTTTTAAATTAAGTAAATTTAAAACGGACTTGAATAGATTGGTCGGTTTTAGGCTGTATAAACTATGAACTTCGAGAAGCTGAATTCAGGCTCGAATGGATGTACAGTATAATTATATCTGTTATATTCCAAGCTTGTGCATTGCGGTCAACGTTATAGAATACTGTACAGCATAGAAAAATTATTTACAGCTTTTTCAGCAATAAATGCGATGAAATCAAACCTATCGTACATCACGATGATCGTTGCCGCAAATAAACGCATACAATATCTGACGGACTACAAGAATTACAATTCAATTTGAAGCTGAATACACACGGAACTTCGTGAATATGATCACTCACCTCTTTTTCTTCTTCAGAAACTTTGAATAAGGCATTCAAAATTATACTCCCAGCAATCTCAAGCTGATTCAGCGGGCAGCTGAAATAAAAAATAGCATCACGTTTCACACTAGAAACCAGATTTTCTAAACTTTTTTTTTTTTTTTCGCACGGCATTTTCAAGAATGAACATGGAAAGGCCGTAGGCGCAGACGAGTAATTTTCCGGGATACGGAAATTAACCTTGAATTACGCAGGCACTGTTATAGTCCACATCTAGGTTATTACGTACTCCCTTTTTGAATACAGCATTACAGGTGTACTCTCTCTAGAGTAGAGAGTACTTTCTCGCTTTTCAAAATGGGTAAAGACTCCTATGGAGAAAAATCGTTACACAAGGAAAATTGTAGACATACTTATTGTGAAGAGAGAGAGAGAGTCTACCTGAAATTTTTTTTTCATGTTCAAATACCAACTGATTCGGATTATACCTTCATTATTCAAAATTGTGAAGAATTTTTGCGGGGAGTCTACCTATACTTCTCTTTTCATTTTGTATTACGAACCGATTCTAGTTACACCTCATTTTCCTGGAATAACAACGGAGTCCTTGACAACACTCCAGATGAAATACGAAGGGCTCCGCTTGAGAACCTCTCGATATGATTAATAAGGGCGTCAATCATCTTACTGTTGGCAGACATGGCTGACGAACTGCAACGTCAAATTTCGCAGCTTCGAGTGTGGCGTCCGAGGTCGAAACAAACAATCAAACATAACGTATACGTTGTCCGGAAAGAAGGAGGCGCACTGTTTCGACGACAACATATACGGCAATAACTTCAGCCGTATCCGAGCTGGTGCGGGCAATCGGCACATTTCATGACGAATCGGAGAACCGGACATCGTAGGAACGCGTGGAACATTCGGGATTTCGACTGGCGGCAGAGCATTCCCCAAGAAAAGCTCAAACATAGCGGACACCATTGGCTTGCTATTCCAGTTAACTGTGACGAGAACTTTCCGCAGAGCGTTTTCGGCCTCGTTTGCAACAGTGTACCGAGTGTCAGCGCATCCAACGATCAAATGGCACAGTATGAGATCTTCTTCGAAAGCACCCGACGCCGTGAAACGAATGATTCCTATTTTCATCTGGAAATCATAATCATATCGCATGAAAATCCCTGCGTTTCGTAGTCCTGATTTTTCAGAATGATTGGATGCAGATTATCTTTGGCCTTCTCTCGTCAATTTAACCAGGGGGAAAAACGACATTTTTCTTTAAAAACAAAAAAGCGAACGAAACAACTTATTTTACCACGTTTTTATGAACTCACTTTCTTGTCAGTCTGTTTGTCCGGATCAAATTTTGAAACTCAAATTTCACTCACTTCCCGACTAGCTATCAAGCTGAAACTTTCAGGATAGCCTAGAAACTGATGACAATGCAATCTTTTGTGAAAAAATAAATTTTAAGAATATTTTTTAAAAAGAATAAAATAATTATAGTAGATTAAAAAATTAATCTAAAAAACCACGTTTTCAAAAAGCAAAAAATAACCTTAAACGTGGTGCGCATGGAGATTGTTGAGAAGAAGTGAAATACAAATGAAATAGATGCACACCACGTTTAAGGTTATTTTTTGCTTTTTGAAAACGTGGTTTTTTAGATTAATTTTTTAATCTACTATAATTATTTCCTGGGAATCAACTACATGTATAAGAAAATTACAGCAACTTCCCACACAAAAAATAATCGCGAAAAATTAGCTTTCCCTACTCGCAATTCCGTGAAAATCAATTACAGAAGGCAAGCCACAAATCGTGCTAACCACAGCTTTAAAAACAGTACCGGTACATACAATTATTAATTGACAAAATAAGTTTCCAACAGACTGAATCAAAATAAAAAGAGGGAGAATACATATACGTCTTAGTGCGTCGATGGTTCACTTAAACGGTACAAAGTTCATTAATTACATGACACACATACCATCTCTAATTCTTCGGCAGTGATGGGCTGGTCGCCGGTGATTCTTTTGAAACCGTATTCATTCATTCCCATCGGCGCGACTATGGCACCAGGCTTAGACATGGGCGAAGCTGCGCCGGCGCCACGGGATGGGTCTGAGGTTGATGCAGTTTGTGCCGCCGCGTTCAGGGCACGAAGAGCATCGGCTCCACTTTGATTGTCCTTCAGCCCCGAATAACTGATGAACATGAAAAAGACGCCGTAATGTTGAAAATATAATTTTGATCCAGCAGATATAACCGTGCATTACTTCGAACTACCTGGTTCATTTACTGCACTTCCACCCTTTCTTACCAAGATTACTCTTGAATCATCTTTTTCTTCGCGAAGTGCCACAGCGCAAAAAACTTCGATGCACATCACCCAAAATAATCCAAAATTTGATGCACTTGATAGGAATTCTCAGGGGACCAAGTGATGAATCGTCATAGACAGAAAGTTGAGCATTTTAAAACACCTGCTATTGCTACAATAAAAGGTCTGTCAGGGCCAGAAAAATACGTTGCATCGAGGACATCAACAATGATAAAATCGTCGTAATCTCGTCGAGTTTTTCTCTACTTGGCTGGAACTCGGCGTACCTGAACGGGAATAATAGAGCGTCCATCATGAACTTCAGTAGGATGTTGGTGAGATCCGGTTTCTTCAAAAAGGGGAACATCGTCCGACATTTTGCGACTTCAACCGGAAAGGTCATGTGATATAAGATGGGCATGATTAATCGCATCAAACTGTCCTGATGTTGCACGGGCTTGTCGCTCAGGCAGTCGATCAGTGAAGGGAACAATTCCACTTGCTTCCCGGTCTCCAAACGAGGTATGCCCATTTTTAGGTAAATTATTGTGAAGTTCTGGAAAGTACTCATGAGAAGCAACGTCCGCTGAAACATCCCACGCGTAAAATATTACCGTCACAAAAAATGAAGCAGATGCATCCTGGTATTGAGCAATTAGCGCTTCAACCGGCAGCTGAATATTTGGTCTACTCTTCAGACGCTTGTTTATGTGAACCAACAATTCCATGACCTTCTTCCGAACTCCATCGCCCTGACACGCCAGTTTCAAGAGCACAGGGGCCAAAAACTTTGATACAACACCTTGAAATTGTTCATCATCTTCAGCAGATCCAACTCTGAGCAACACACGCTCCAGAAGCAGACAGACATTCATACCTTAAAAGATAAATACTCGCTAGAACATTCACGCATATTACGTAAGCAAGATACTGTATACTCACTTGAAGAAGCGTCTTCCGCAGATTCAGAGGAATCCGCAGGCATGTCTACTCCGTTCATCCTTTCAAGAGACCTGTCCGAAAGCTCTCGTTCACTCGAAATTTTTCACGGGGTTATGTACTGTATTTAACATTGACACGATGAAATTTCTGCCATCATTAACCGTGCTGCACACACACGCCAGTCGCGGGCCGGCGTTCATCAGTCAACGCGCAAGTCAGAAGCGTTCTTGCTAGAGGTCGCATGTTCAACGTGAGTTTGAAGTGACACCTAGCCCTTGGCAGCATATTGTTCGCAATCCGTTTTGCCAGCAATCCAGCATTTATCAGGGCTTGGCGGAGTTCGATTTCAAACTGGTAAAACCCACTTCAACACCTGTTCGAGAAATCATGGTCGAACTTCTTATTAAAATGAACAGGACATAACCCAGTAAAAATATTTGAACTTTTGTATACTGCTGTACACCAAAATTTGAATTGATTCACACTTTTTACAGTACATCTGCATGCCCATGATTTTTGTGCACGGTATGCGATACTGATGTGCAGTAGATTTTAATTACGCCCCCAAATTCAACATACAAGAGACCTGTAGCAGTACTGTAGTATCCTGTCTGTACAGTGATTTTCTTGCAAAACTGCGTTTAATAGGCTTAAGGTTTGCTAAGCGTCACGTTTTCTCTGATTGCAGCATTAGTGCTGTATATACAGTATTCAACACGCGCATTACTTACCGCTCGTAATTGCTGGTTTCTCTATAGAAATAAAATCTGCAACGTTTTCAAATATTGCCTGATATTGAATGAGAAAACAGAGATGAAACCCTTGAAAGTATTTCATGGTGCATACTTTAAGACTTAAGTGCCAAATGCTGTATTATTGTAGTATTGCACAGCAAGTAATAAAATGCAGGTGTATGATATGCCCCACAATTCAATCCTAATCTGTTGCTGCTGATGGATTAGGGTCAATCTGTGAAGCAATTGAATCCAAAGACATCAAATGCAATGTTTTCTACATTGTATTTGACATTTTACATCTCTATGCAGTCAAATTGCAGGGCAGAGGTTAAATTGAAAGTTAACCTCCCAGCAAATTTGACTATTTAATAGTGATTTGTGGGACAGACACATTGTGAGGTGCCACCCGTATTATTGTGATGGTTTTTATTACCTGCACGGGACCGCTTTTTACCTCATGCAAGAGCAGCATCTACAAACGAACTTGATTTTCAGAATATATGATAGTACAGATGTCACTTTAGCTTCAAAATGTCATGTACCGGCATTTCATTTACAGTGCTGTAACTCATATGGTCATCTTCCCCACCCAGCCAGAATGGCGAATAAGTTGCAAGATTCCCACACCTCTAATTGGGTTCACCATGCAAAAAAAATTGAAATTTAATTATGATTAAATGCCTCATCCTCATCGCCCCACCCATGATGTGTGTCAGCAATAGAGTGGACATTTTGTATTCATAATGATTCATATAACAGGCATAAACGCTTGCACAAAGTTTGAAAATTTTGTTTTTTCAAATGGCGTAACCAATGTGATCATGTATCAACAGCTTTCGCAGACTTCTTTGGTCATAAAAATTTTTTATAAGCCGTGATGAAAAAAGGAAATAAATGAGGATTTTTTTAAAGATTATGCAAAAAAAAGGCCCAGCAGCAGCAGCAGCTCGTCCACGTAATGAATGTTCAATATTATGTATATATATGTATTTACTCGTTGCATATCCATGCAATGCTGATAGTCAAATTATTCTTCTGTCTTTCTCGGGTTTGTTATTGCGCAGGTTATTTGGGAAAACTCTTTAGAGAAATCACCACTGTAATAAGAATCAAAGCAGTATAGCAAAAATGAATTTTTATAAACTTTGCATACAGCATATACTTCGAATCCTGGAAACTATATAGATACGGGTGCGAACAGGTTTATGATCGTGCTTTGCAATGATCTGCGCTGGTGACTTTGAATGACATCAAAGGTATACATCCAAGAACTTTCATCGCTTATTGGCAATTGCCTGGAGTCCACCCTGTTCTGCAAGTTCCTCACCAAGGAACAGTAGACTTTGCTCAGCAAGATGAAGTTCAATAGGCGTGTCCACTTCGAGGCTCAATTCTTCTGGTACTTCAATAAAAGTCACCCTATATATATATACATATAATGATATTTGAAAAATTCTAAAGAATTGGGTCATTTTTCAGCGATATTGTTCATCAAAAGGCAATTTTCAGAAGTCCTCTAAATCTCCAGCAGACACAAATTCAAGCCATCGCAAAAAACTCAGGCATACCATCATATCTCATGCTCCAGCTTTTCGAGCACTCTTTTCAATTCTTATAATAAAAAAAATACTGATCATCATGCTAATGCGCTGAGCAATGTTATTCCAGAATAGTAACAATCAGCGAAAAATATGTTTCTATACGATAAGCGCGGATAGAGTACATATATTGTAAATAAAAGCACATAAATGCAGAATCTGAGAATTCGTAGCAACTTCTGGTTTATTTACTCGTAATCGTATAGTTCTCATTATTCGCATCAAGTTTTAATTCAAGAGCTCTGAAACTGCAGACAACTTTCCTCAGCGCAACTATACGTTCACAGACAGCATATTTTCATCAACAGTTTTCAATTCTGTGGCACTAATGATTCAGAAAAAGGCTGACATGTTCTTAAAAGACGAATTTCTGATAATACTGTATGGGATTAGTCAACTTTCATGGATAATAGTGGAGATTCGGAAGACTTCCGAAAAACCCCGCACACACGAAAATGATTAACAATCGAAACAGTACGAGAGAAAATGAACCTTTTTCCATCCTGATAAAATGTTTCCCTGGCAATGGACGCTTTGCAGAAGTAGAACATTCCGTTCTCAACAATCATCCCTGGCCATTCCTGACGACGGGGTCGGTTGCTCGGGTGAAAATTCAGCGGCCTCGTGGACTCATCTGTGCTTCGATCGCATAAACCTGATGTATATCTCGAAAGCTTCAACGATTTTCAACAACAAACAGAAAAGGTCACCTGTTCCAGTAACGTCTTTCCACGTGAATTTATGCAAACGCGTCACGGAAAAAACACTGTCCCAGTCTTCGTCGAGCATTTTTCTGGCTCCTTCTTTCAAATACTTCGGACTGACGAGCGGCGATGTTGCTTGAACCATCACAATAATGTCCACTTCTGTATTGGAGTTCATGGATTAAACTTCATCGCAGAGGTCTCTTTATTATTTTTATTAATTGCCCAATTTTCACCACCGTTTTAGAACGATCAACGAGTTCATGAAAATTGACAAATGTAGATAAGAATGCTTGAAAGTTATCTTTAATAACCGAACAATGGATTAGTTCATATATTATCAGTGTACAAGCTGTATCATATTTCCTCACAGGTGATATACCGTATATGCGATTATTTGAGTTAGCATCTCATCCGATCGAAGGATTTCTCACAAATAATTTACGCATCGATATCAATGTGGGTGGATGAGAAGGACAGTCACTATTCATCTGGATCTATAGTTTGTCGCAAGAATTTTGAGGGACCTTTTATATTCCGGCGACCGGAATCATGAGAGAATGTTGAGACCATTTATATTCCGGCGACCGGAATCATCGATCTAAACTTCTATATAGTAGCACCCTACTTCCACTATAGCGAGTATATATAAGAGAGCCTTTCAACGATAAGATTTCACAAGATATTCGACAAAATAACCAGGATGGTGTTCAAGGAATTCCTTGACTGCCGTCGCAGAAGAAGCGTTGTCTGTGGCTGTATAAGGTGCCCTAACGTGAACCTTAGCTCCATATTTCTCGGCGACTTCAGCAATTTCGTCAGTGTCAGTTGAAATCCACGTTGAAGTAAGTTCTGTAAAACATTACGTCTCGATTTTCGATATTAACCTAAGGAATAGCTACTATAGATAACTTGCCCTTCGTGTTGAGACAAGCATGGATGGCATATGCGATCAGTGGGTGACCCCCAACAATTTTAATATTTTTGGACGGGATTCCTTTGCTTCCACCACGGGCCAAAATCACTGCTGCCACATGCGGCACTTTCTTCTCCGATTCATCACTCATTATATTCAGCGAAAAATACAAATTTACTTTATGAAAATTACCTGCGAAATTTTCGCAAAGGCGGTGACAACTTATAGAACGATTACGAGAGTGCAACGGAACACATGCTTGTCCAAAAGGGCAGATAATTACCAAAACCGTTTCGTTCGATGAAGAAAGAAAATATTCCGGAAATAAAATGAAGATAATATCCGTGACAAACTATACTGTTTCAAACAGCTGCAGAACGAGTACAATTCTGCAAGACTCAATTGTAATCCCACCCAGAAACGGAATATACCCTCTCTTCGGAGTGCGTGTGCCACAAACCTACATTCAAAACTAGTGGATCTATATCTAACTGTGAATTTGTGCCTTATCCGAAAGAAAACAGCAGATTAGTGTTGGCAAACGGACGAATAAGTGCGGCATCGATGATTTTCTTCCCGCACCTGTTTTATGAAGAATTGCACAAAACAAGCGACGAATTCCAGTGCCACTGCGTTGTGTCCGCGCAACCGCGGCATTGCGATAAGAATAATAAAACGGAAATCGCAAGCGAATATTTTGACTAATCACAGATCTTGAGAGTGCAAAAAGTAGGGTGCACATTTTTTCACGATGAATGCGAAAAAACATCGCATCTTCAGCACAATATCGTTTCATGAGTTCTTTTCTTTTCAGAGTTTGCTTTCTTGATCGTAAAGAGAACTGCTAAGAGAGGATTTCTCCGACCGCTCGTCTGGAAATTTTCTCAGGGATCCATGAGATGCGGGACTTGGCCGATAGTCCGGATGAACCTCGTCAAATCTTACGTTGGTGAATCAATGACATCACGACTCAATTGTCTTCTGCCATTTCCCAAGAAACAAAGCATATTCTGAAAAAAAAAGAATGCAGTAATGATGACAGCCGCGAAAACAGGACGAAAAGCAGTGAAATTCTTACCAACATCAGTAAGTTTTCCCGTCAACTGATACCTGAATGATGAAGGAAAGAACTTGAGGAAGTTGTTACGCCGCTCACAGATGACCACATACTCAAGGAAGTAGAGTTGAAAGTTAATCCGAAATTCAACGACGTTTCGCGATTATACACCCAGGAAAACCTGTTACGAAGACGCAATCGATGAACTCTACCGTGCTGTAATTTGCGCAACAAAAAAATGAACGAAATTTAAAATTCAGATAATAAACCATCCATTTTTCCCTGTCAAGGACGCTTATTTGTCCAGCAACATATTCCTGAACTGACCTCACAAGCCACGCTACCAAAAATAAACAACAAAATGTTCACGGGGTAGAAACAAAGGCTTGACACAGCATGTAAACGGAATACACCAAACCCTGCTCAAAGGGTAACATTCACTATTTTGACTTCCACTGAAGCGTTTGACTCAAGTACATATTATCAAATGGCAAATGCGCAATAAAATAATTCCCGTTACAAATTATGGACTCAACAAAGTAGATATTTTGACCCGTCCATCTAATGATCCAGTGGCACATGTTCCACAGTTCATGGCTACCGCCCAGTCAACAGCCACAACAGGTGCTTTGTGTCCCCGAAGATCCATGATCTTTTCCAGTCCATCATCTTTGATCTGAAGGACAAAAATGGATACAAATCAGATTGTAAATTTTACTTCCATCTTCCAAAAATCAAAACTAAGAAAATTTAGAAAAATTCCTTTTTTTTTGGGTTGGATACCACACAACTTTTCCTCAAATTTTTGCTCTCTCAAGAAGTATGCGTAGAACCTATTTTTAAATACAAGGGGCCAAGGCAGTTGAACTTTTGAGCCAAACCCAAATCAAAGAATAGCGCAAGAGAAGAAATGAAAGACACTAACCTTGAATATGTTGCCCCCAATGGATGATCCAACCAGTAGATGATGGCCATCCCCGTCCATGCTGACAGCATTCGTCCGATTCCGAAATTTAAAGTAACCGCTCCTTGATTTCTCGATTTCGTGAAAGGGTCCCAATTTTTCTTCGAGTGGGGGGAATTCCCAAAGCTTCCTTCCGGTTTGCGTGAGGCTCCAACATTCCATCTGTCCGGAAGAAGCTCCTGCTGAATAATTGCTTATTTCCAAGAAAATAACTGTTTGCAAACCTTTCCATCCGTGCTCATGGAATAACAACACGTTTCGTCAACCGAGTGTATCAAGGAAGAAATTTCGCCAGGAAAACTTGATGCCCAGGAAGCAATGCATTGATATCTTCGAAGGTCATAAACTCTGATTTTCCCATCTGCACAGCCAGCCATTAAAAGTTGGCCATTGTGGTTGAAAGCACAGCAATTCACAACCACCGACGTCGGCTCCACGCTCAGCTCTTTCTGATGCGAAAAAAATCAAAATAAAGACTCATTTACACAAATTTTCCGAGATAGATGTGATGCTTTATGCTAAAAATTGAGTCTTTCACACAGATGAAGACATTCATACGAAGTACTGTGCAGTAACTTGCTTTGCTTCATGTACACGCCTACAAAAAATAATAATACAGCAGAATCGATGCCTTTACCTGTATTTCCATGGTTTTCAGATCCCAAAGCAATAGAGTTCCTCCAAGCGAAGGCGATGCTGCTGTCGGGAGAGGTCCGACGCAAACAGCTGCTTGCGTTCCATTCGGATTACACGCGATCTCGACAACTCTGAAATATTTTTGAAAACGTTCCGAACATTCACGAATCTCATAAATCCGGTTTAAAAGCATATTTAGGATGCACCAAACTCGCAGAAAACCTCGAGTAAGAATACCATTTCCAACTCACTGCTTGTCTTGGAAAAAAGCACCGCTACGAATGTCGTAGTTGTTCAAATCAAATAGATTCTTCTTTTCTTTATGATCGAATAGTCGCAATGCGCTTCCTCGCGAAGTAGCTCCAAGGAGCAGAAGATGCTCACGCTTCGGTACCCATTCGAAGTCAGTGAGAGCATCTTTGCTCATCAGGGAATAAGTCGTTCTGAAAGAAAAAGAGGACTCAGTACGAGGAACGCGAAAAGATTTTGGACACACAGCAGAGCTTGGCTCAAAATTTTCACCAGTCCTGTAAAATCAAATCCACGGGTTTACCAAAGTTTCCGAGTCAGAATCCTCTAAAACAACGTGTAATCGATAACTAGCCTCTGTAAATTTGCTGAGAATTTCCTTCAATCGGAGCCCTGACCTGACTTATACTTCTTGTTCAACACTGACATTTTTGGACAGCATACAATAAAAATAAGCATCATATATAAGCACAAAGACAGTCAAGCACAGCGCATTTCTTTATTTTGAAATAATTTATAAAATATGAGAAGGTCATAAATTATGAAACGGTGCGCTTTTATTTCCATATTTTCGCCATTTCAACCGAGTTGACCAAAAGTTTGAAAAATTGTCAGGAACTAGTCATATATCACTTCTGATCATATACAATATTTTGAAAAATATGCCCATCTGCATTCGAACAAGAATCAAACGAAAGAGACACATAATAAACGTAAAAACCAATTCTAGAACAATTGAAGAGCTTACAAAAGCGGAGTGCATGACCAGATTTTCAACGCTCCTTCCGAATCCGACGAGGCAACAAGTGAACCCGACGCATTGAACTTACAATGCAACACCATGCCCTTGTGTTCCTTGTACTCGTCCTGTAAAGCAATATAAAAAATTAAAAAAAAATCATTCTTTTTTAAAATGCTTGTACCAGCGAGGAATACGTGAATACTGTGTTATGGTAACACAGGTAAATTAACCTGGCTTAGTAGGAGGAATGGATTCTTCTTCTGACTGGGTAACTTCAATGCTCCGAGAGATTCGTCACGTTCGGGAAGTGGAGGTGCCGAGGGTGTCAAAGGACTCGCCGACGCTGACGCTTGTTGCTGAGTTTTTGACCTCGATGAGATCATATTGGACGAAGAGGATTGGCTGACACGTTTCACCACCGGATGCTGCCGACTGTTAGAATTGCATATTGGGCTTATAACTCAATCAGAAATAAAAAAGAATTGGACTTCAAATTTCTTTCATAAACCTAAGCCATGCTTCTTCACGAAAAGCGAAGCCCATTTTCCAGTTTCATATCATTTACATAAAAAACGATTGATATACGAAGATTAATAAATAATACGCGTATCGTTATTTTGAAATCAAGTGAAATCCAATTTCATTAATTGTCGGACCATAACAATGATGTCACTTCGCAACTTGAATTACAGGAGTGAGACGGCTTTACGCGTGAAAAAAGTATGTAGGCCATATGCTTCCTAGACTTCGCATCTTCATCGTTAATTATCAAAATCCTGAAATTTCAAAAGAATACTCCACGAATCAACGTTATTTTGCTGAAATCACTTATATGTGTCTACCGTGTCAGGTCCATATTAAAATATAAAAAAACTATTTAAAAATTGACTTTTCGCGACTGACTAAGGCTTGAGATGAGTGGTTTCAATTCTAGATTTCCCCTTGAAAAACAAGGAATAACTCTTGAAAATATGGAGGAGAAATTCAACTTCTTATTCAAATTAGGTCGAACAAGCTTTGGACTCCTGAAGAAAAATTCAGTTCGTAGATATTCCTCATGTTGAGATTTTCTTCGTATGTCCGATTAATGAAACTCCTATGAACAGTTGCTCAGGGGACGAGGCATCATTCTGAGTTCCTCGAGTATTCTCACGGATAGAATTCCACCTTTGTCAAACGAACGCAATGCAAGGATGCATTGATCCATTTTTCCGCTTTCCATAAATTTTTACAAAACTGAATTTCGAAAACCACACAGATTACCGCAAACGTCCGTTACCTGCTGCTTGGCTCAGCGGGAACCCGTGCTTTCGGAATTCGATCTTCATGGTAGGAAGACGGTGATCTGGAAGGCGCAGGGTCAACTAAAACACAGAAGCATGGTTTGAAAAAATCATTATGTGCGCTATATTCACGGATCACAAGGGAAATTCGTCACAATTTTTACAGCGTCGATAACATATCCAGATTTTCCTTTTTTCCCTCTTCAGACGAAAAAAAATGCCGGAATATCTTAAAGCCTTCCATCTTCAAAAACAAGCGGCTACGAGCCACAAACCTTCCAAAACATAACATAAATCACCCTTTTATCACGCTCCGAAACGCTTTATAATTCGCCTCAACATTTAGACATGAATTTTAACTTCTATTCGTATCGTAACATAGCTTCTCGGGGCAAGTACTGTAACTCAAAAATATTCAGAACTAGGAACTCTTGACACGTAGCGGGCATCACCTCAGGTCTATCGAATAAAAAGCTATCGAGCCTATGAAGTAGAGAAAATAGTCCGCGTCGCATACAAGTACAGTACACTCAAAACGACAAGAACCACAGCATGAAACAGAGGAAGAGATGAACAAAACCAAGGGATTCAAACATACACGAATAAAAAATAAAAAGCACGCGATCACAACTACAAAGATCTTTTAAACTTGAGGTAGTCCGAGCAGACGTGTACCTTCTTCCGTAGGAGGTGGCGGAGCTGCACGCTTCGCTAGATGATGAGGAGGCACAGCAGGTGTTGCTACATTGGACTGACCAGTATTCGGTACACTGAAGTTCCGGATGAAATTTTTCAAGATGCTGAACTGACTTTCCATTGGCGAGTTACCCCTGAAGATAATTTGGAATAAGATACGTTCACTTTAAAAAAATGCATACATTTTCAGGGACATTCCGGATTTGACTCTTCCTACACAAAGCTAAGTAGGGTGGAGTAAACTGTAGATAAATAAAAACATAACTCGGCTTAACAAGGCGATTGCGAAAATTTTACACGGATACACGAAAATAACTATCCTCTTACTCTTCCTTGAAAATAATATCGAAGTTTTTTCTTTGAAACACGAATCGTACATCACGAAAAAGAGGTGTTCTACAGTGAAATTTGTCATTACCATGCATTTCCGAGATCACCAAGTTAGTCCGTCAGGAGAAACAACTCCACCCTTTTCGCTATCCCCGCAATTTTGATAAACTCAAGTTTGTCCACCTCTCATGTGGAAAATAAACAGAGAAAAAAAAAGCGTCCGAGAAAAAAAAAAAAAGATTTACCTGAGAACTGATGGAACGGTTTTTTAAAAGAATTTTTGCTAAAAAATTAAATGAATAAGATACTCTTAACAATCACAATTATCGAGATATGAAAATCGGATAAAGCTGATGGATGATACAGTCCTGCATATTTGAAGAAACCGCATTAATTCTTAAATTCAGCAGGAATAAATACATTACATGAAAAAAAAAACGATACATTCTACGAACTGTTGACTTTGAGGGTATCACAATAATCACGAAAGTAAACGAATGTTATAATCGTCGGGATAATTCTAAACAAGCCTGCGAACAGCAAGTGGTAGAAGTCTAATCATTTTGAAGCAGCGTAACTTTGTTTCTCGTCACTAAGAAATAAAAAAGAACAATAAAATGAGTGACATCCTTTGGCGCCTAAGGGTGGAGTTCATCAAAAAATACGTAGTTACATTATATAAAATTTATTCTGCATTTTGAGGGTTGAGACTACCTCGGGACCATTCAAAGCACATGAAACAGCAATAGAAGATGTGTTGGCTACCTCCAATAACTTTTTCCGAGTGGCACGCGTCTGGTTCGACATAGCCAGAAATAGCTAGAATTAAATACTGTATTTTTACAGCGCCGAAATATTCGTCAATAAAATTTAAAAGCGAACGAAACTGACATCCAAAAATCCAGCAATTTACCTCGCTAGAGCAGAAAAATCATCCATTAATTCCGCTCGCGCAGGGGCTTTCGGTGTGGGAAGATCTTTAACAATTTTGATGGGTTCGTTCTGGCGCTGCAACGCGATGTTCAAACGTCTCCGCAAACTGTCGTTCTCCAACTGCAATGCAGTGCACTTGGCGGCCTCGTCATCCAAGTTGCACAGACGTGGAGATGGACACAACTAAAAACCAAAGATAAATTTTGACCAAAACCAACGTAAATTTTAAAAATCACCATTTAAAAAAAACTGGAGTCAGAGAATATAGTAAGAATAAATAAATACAATACCTGAAAGGCAAGAGACAAGAAGTTCAACAAAGACAGCATCATTGTATCCTGCCATTGTTTAGAAAAATACAGTGAGAAACTCGGGTTTTCCTCCGGATTCTTCAAAAACGGCAACGCTAGAAACGATTCAAGTTAGTAACAAACTTTTCACAAACTTGAAGAGCGAAATGCTCACCAAACCAATCCCGCCATTCAGACTGATTCTGAATCTCCGACGCAGTTTTCTCGAAAAACTCCTGAACTTTATCGCGCTTGTTGTTTTGAACAGCATTTACAAGAAAGCGTTTGAGCAGCGACGCTTCGAACTTTTTCACCACCGAGCCGTAAGGTTGCTCGAGTCTCGAGAATAACTTGCTTTCCAATTGGCCCCAAATAGCTCGCAATGCTGCCAAATCATACGAACTAATGCTAGATACGATCTGGTTCATCACTTGATCGACCTGAACAAAAATCGAGGAAAAATATTAACAGCGACTGAATGGAATTGACGTCTATCAGATCTGAAAATGAATCAAGTTTAAAAATTAGCCAGGTGGCATTACTGATACTGTATCATTTTTCCTGAATACTAACTCTTCTAGTAAACATAATTGTGTTCGCTAAACAAAATATCTTCAATTCAATCCATTCGAAATGATGGGAGTCACTAACTTCTAATGTGATCAATAGACGGTTGTTTTTGACACATCTCGAAATAATCAAAGCTTGATCTCGTTTTAAAACACACAGCCACTGAAATGAGTTTTAATTTCGGACAGAAATTTCAGCCATCAATCTCACAGAAGGTTCTCATGAATTACAACCCAAGAAACACGAGTAATGAATGGAGGACTTACCCTGAATCCTTTCTCTCGGTCACCACGTATTTCTCCTTCAAAAACTTTCGAAGCCCCGGGGCATCCGGAAAATAAAAGATATTCTTTCACAAGATCATCGATAAACTTATTTTGAGCCATTTGCACAGCTGGTTCAATACCTGTGGGTACTGTGAAAAAATCAATAACACACACATTAGCGCACATGAACCTATGAACGCGCATGTAAGGTTTTTCGAAAAGGACACTCAAATCGCGGTACACGGATGAGACACACTCTTCAAGTCTTCATGAAAAAACTGATTTTCCTGATACAGTACTTCCACTCACGATCGAACGTCGAACGCATGTGATCATCACAGGGAACCTACAGGCATATAGAAAGTTCAGAGGAAAAATTACTTCGTCGTATTCAGGTCCGATTCACCTATACATTACCCTCTTTACAGTTTACTCTCACAGGCTTCTACACGAAGTACAAATATGCCAGGTACGCCTAGCCATAAAAAGAAACCGGTGAAGACGAGGAAAAAGAAGATAGGTGACCGACTCATGCAACCTGGATCTGGTCGTTCAGGCATTGTATTTTTTCTTTTTCTTTTTCTTTTCGGTTGTGGAGCGGTTGTCAGTGCATTTTAGGGACCAAATGGGCACCCATTTCGATGCTTGCTTTTTCTTCGGTAGAATTGTATAACTTTAGAAATTCATTAAAGTTAATCCTTCCAACATGACTTAACTTCGTGAAGTTTTCAATGTGTAAAAATATGATTAGAAAATCAGCCGACGCACAGTAGGAGGAAAATCCGCAGGAATGATCATACGTAAAACGAAATGCATTCAGAAAAAATAATTATTCATCACGCATTTGGCATTACTAACCTTACAAACCATTCAACCAACTTCCAAAATGACGCCATGCTTAAGGAAATTAAAAATCAGCTTCGAAAGGGAAATTGTGATTCAATGAAACACGAGCTGCCCGGTGATTTTCAACTGTCACCTCTTCCACAATCACAAAATTTCGCTTAAATTGAAGGAAGCAGCAGCGCAAGCGATACAGAGGAGCCACAGCCGGCAAGAACTCCAGTTACCCCTAGCAAACCCAACACTAAAACTCTTGCTCAGACTAATAAATCCAATCCGACACAAACCACGCAAGATTCAACTCCATCAAAATCTGCGACAACAGTCAGCACTGCGCCGAAACCGTCCAAAAACAAACCCGTAAAACCAGCCAACTGCCCGAGTACCTCATGGCAATCTGCAGATTTAGACGAGGCAAATGTGGTTCCTGATAGAAATGATGATTCGGAAGAGCCTCTAGGAACCAATCGGGCTACCAAGGAATTACCAGCCATTCTCGTAGCAGTTGGATGAGGCATGACTAATCTTTACGACGATGTTGTTGAGGAAGTCAAGAGGAGCATTCCTGATGCCAAGTTTCTTCGGTTGCCTGGAATAAGAGGTGTTTCTATCTTTCGAATCAATGAATTCTTCCGCTAACATCTTCATTTGTAACGAATCAGTAAACGCACTTAAATTATTACGGTAATTGAATGAATGTTTACATCCGTAAGGAATTATGGAGGTGACCATAGACGGAGACAACGTATATCACACTATACGAAACGGAAACGCAACCGAAGAGGAGATAGCACGGATGATCGTCGAAGATATTAAAAAGAGAGTCAAACACAGAGAGAATGAACGAAAAACCCCGCGGTCTCAAGGCACAGGTCGAGATAGGTCTCCTCCAAGCCGAGGTTAGGTGTCCTCCCTCACTTCAAGTAATAAAATCCTCAAGTATTTCCTTAAAATTATACAACCCAGTTCCTCGAAGCTCCAGCGACGAAGAAGTTTTCATCGCACGTGCCACCGATGGTGATCAAAGTGGGATCTATGTTTCCCGGGGATGATAAATACTCCACGGCTACAGAGCATGAGCGCAGGATACGGAATACGGGATGCACTTCGAATAAATGACACTCGCTTGAGAAAAGCTTCACGGCTTCAAACGCAGTTGATGAGCAGTGCACACATAAGGCGAACGGAAATCCTGCAACTTCAGCGATCCAACGAACAACAGTATAGGACCGTTCACTTTTGAAAGTAACACGAACCACCATTAACCGACGTCGGCTCGCGGTCTTGGATTGCTTATTTCCGCCCACGAACTAAAGAAAATATTAAATCCCTCACTCCAACACCCGCTCTTCCCATGTGGTCATTCCCAGATGTTGATACACAGTGTCGTACTTCACGTACAGCATTTAAACCGACATACTGTACTGCAGTGGGGTGAATTTTCCAGGTTTCATAGCCTCGAACGACATCTACACGGGAAGTAGCCACGGCACAACTCACGCACAAGACTAGGTTATCGCGCTAGGGAATCCACTTCTCAAAAATTGGAATAGGGCTTCCAAAAAAACTTCAGGGCTTTTACTAACATTTTAAAATGGATCATAAGTCTTAAAAACCGCATCTCTGGAAAAATGTGTGCCTGATGCTGCTGAAAAATTTACACAATTGAGAGCTCAATAACTAGAACCAACAGTTTTCATCAGATAAACGACAAAGCATCTCGGATTGAAGGAAATAAGTCAGGTTTCTGGACATAGAAAGTCAAATTCTGTTGAGAAAAAACTCTTCGATAAACTTCAAGTCTAGGTATGATGTACGTTTACACATCAGTAAGACCTTGAACATCAATGAATGCCTAGGATAAAATCCCGTCTGCCTTAATTTGTATTTGACTTGAGGAAAAAACGTGAAGGAATGGAGGACAAAGAAGCCACATTTGTTGGTCATAAATTGTACTTTGAAAGTAATACACAATACTTTGTAATGGCAATACAGGTACTGTAGACTTGAAAAAATGCAAGGGACTTTGGAAATTTTGTAGCAGAGAACCCCACATACTCTGGGAAAAGAAACTGATGGGACCAAACAAAAAATTCGTCATGCTGTTACATAACGAAGTCTTTGTAAAATAGAAAAATTTTCCGCTGAGAGTCCAACAGTACAGTAAAAATTAGCAAAACGGAACACTTTCACTTCGGAGAAACAATTGCAAGGTTCAGTCTTTCCAATTGAAATGTTCTGCGTCTGTTTTCTTCATTTCTTGCATTCTTCGGTTTGATTTTTTTTTCATTTTAATTTTATTATTCAACATACAATTCTTGTATATATTAAGAAATAATGTCATACATAACAAAAACCTTGTGCTGACTGACTGCTGCTTATGGCAGCTTTGAATGGATTAGGTCCACTGCTCAAATCCCCACTGTATTGTAATTGATACTACTTTTTGTCTGCTGCAGAAATTAGTTCACGTTTCAAGAACACTGGAAGCCAGTGCTGTTCTTTATTCTACCATACTGCACATATACACAAGGGCCCAGATAAGTGCTTGCAGCAGTTGAAAAAAAAAAATGCAGATAATTTATTTAAAACAAAATTTTTTTAGCCGTGATTCACTCAATTTTGAATACGCGTTCTTTTCAGCTGTGTTAGAGGTAAAGAAAATCGAGAGAAACCAAGATTGATCAGGCCATAAGGATTTATATGAAGTACAGTACAGTGCAAAGGCAATATGCCCGTAAAAAAAAGTTGATTTCTGACACCATGCACCAAAACAATGCGTGGATTTCGACGCTGAACCATAAAAACAGATTTGACCACCATCAGCAGTCACTGACTTCGGATCCAGACAAAAAATGAAGCAAACACGTAAAACAAAATTGAGCGATGCAAATATTGATATCGCCAATTCAAAACGAGAGAAATTTCAAAACAGAAAACCAACAACATCAACAGAATCCAAACTCGGGGGAAAAAAGCATTTAAGGAAACTGCATCATATGAAGGCGGTTCTACGAATCAAATATAACCCGCAGTTTACATGATGTTGCAACAAGGACAACAGCCAGCCTCTTCCTGTTCTTGTCTCCAGCGATTCATTTGAGCTTGATTGATTGCATTCAATACCGCTTGAAGATCCGGATACGGGCCATTCGGCGGCCGAGAAAAAAAATCCTGACCGTCGATTTGGATCACGAATGATCCTGAAGGGGAAATAAATTTGCTCTCAACGCATTGCATTTCTCATGAAACTTTCGTTTAAAACATTACTGCACCGAGATAAATTTCGGGCATTACAGGTCAGAATCTACATGAGAAAAAATTAATTTTGCTGGGACATAGGTTTTGTTCAAAATACCCAGTTACTTTCCACAATGTTGTTGTGAAGACGGACACTCGTACGGCGAATTTTATTTCACTCTTCGTATACATGTCACTAGTAAAATACAGTGCATTTCATCGAATATTAATTGAAGGGCTGACAAATTCTGCATCAAAACTTGAAGTCCATTCAAAAAGGTTTTCTCTACTCAATCTATCTGTTAAGAGCATGATTGGTACATGTAATAACTTACAGCTTCATTGTAAAATGGGTCTCAAGTTCTCAACATAACAAAGCTAATCCATATCTGGAAAGTTACTTTATGCCACATTTTTGTTAGTTGATATGCATTTTTTCTTAAGAGTACCCTGGTATTTTTTTCAATTGGTTTGTCGGTAACTGGTACAGGTACTATTTGAGATGTTAACCACATATAAAGTCGTCCATTAACACTTAAATTATAATAAACCGTACATTAAGTTCATTAACACTGTTTTTTTATACATATGACCGCGGTCTCCATGGACCATGGGTTGGGAGCACTTGTTCAGGTGAAAAAACAGGTAGAATCTCTTCAAAATGATTTTGCCCAAAAAGTTGACTCAGTATAAAAAGTATTTTGTGGTTCCATCTCCAATAAGGTTCTCCCCCCCCCCCCATGTTACATGGGTTCTCCACGACAAAATTATCTCTAGAACAAATTTATTTTCTGGTCCCTCGAGTTTTGTTGCAGAGGGAGTCCACCTGTACTATGCTATTATTTTAGAAACTTTGAGTTTCAGTTCAGATCTTCAGTAAATTAAAAGGCAGTTTTTTGTCCAAAAGATTCTGTGAAATAATCCTGTACTGTAATGTGAGCAATGCTTTCCCTTTAAACATTTTTTTTTTGCAGATTTTTTGCTGCGAAGGTCTTTTTTTATATACTGTACTGGGTCTCACTGTAATTTCTCAACGAGTGAAAATCCTGAGATCCATTTGATATACGTCTAGATTCCTTGCTCTTGTTTGCTAACTAGCATTGTCAGCAGAGGAGGGATGATAAGAGTTCTGAATTTAATTCAACAACACAATAATGGACCGCCTTATTTTCACTGTTATTCACCCCAAAAATGTCATTGAATTTCTTTTGGGTCACTTCAGGATATGCTTTAAACGCAAGAGTGCTGCTGACCTCTACCACTTGCACTTTGTGCTGCACAGTAACTGTTGGACACACTGTACTTCAGAATTACAATACAGTACATGCACCTACCTGGTGCTCCGTTTGGAGAGCCTACCACAGTGACAGAAGGATGGTTACGTTGAATTGCTCCCGCGAGCCCCACGAAGGCCAGCCGACTTTCTTCACCTTGGCTACATAAGAAACCATAAATGCAATCATGGCTTCAAGCATTAAAATTAGAAGTCTTCTACATTTTAGGGAGGTGTGACATTTTACCGTTGATATCCGCATATGTGACCCAGGTAATTATGAAATAAATTCTGAATCCAAGAACTACAAAATCTAAATTAAGCTTGTTAAGTAAAGTTTGATACAGTACAGTACTTCATTACAATCGCTCTTGAATGCAATAATTTTACTCATCGTGGTTAAAACGGACACTTGGAAAATCCGATACTGAGGAAAAAGTTGTCAAGGTAATTAAACTTTCATTAAAGCTTAAATTAGGTTTATATTCTGTACCAACATTCCTTTGGCTCAAGTTTGCTGAATTTATTAAAAATAATGTCTGATTATCTTTCAGTCATGGGATCAGGCGCGACGCTCTCTACAACAAAATTTAGGATATCTGAAAAAAAAATGATCGAACTCCTACAGTAAAAAAAATTCGTCATACAGAGAAAATTGTTATAGAGAGTCAGGCTGTACAGAAAAAAACAAACGAGGAGATAATGGAACCAACTCGTGTGTGATGACAACCACAACAGGCTGGTTCCTCGGTGTGCCCGGGGACATCATATTGGGGTTCCCTCATCCCATGGTGAGCTGGCTAACTATGGCACCCAGCTTCCCGATAGCAAAACCTCAATAGTGAGAAATAATGTGAATACTTGAATAATTAACAACCAAAAGAATCTGTTTAAAAATTGAAAGCCAATCCCTGGTAAAAGCTACTGAAAGTTTCCGATAATTATGCGCAATATTCTTAATCATCATAAAGAATATTCAGTTGCCCAGGAAGGAAGCTCCAAACTTCCTCATCAAAAGGAATTAGAAGAATAATCTATTTACGTTAGCTTAATCCCACAATCAGAAAAATAAATAAATAAAATCATGGGTGACGATAAAGGAGGAAAAAATCCAACCGGGGATACACCCCCACCACCTTTAACATCCGTCAGCGTGGAATACTGGTAAGAATTTACAATTCTCGTACATTACTTGGCAACAAATGTACGTTATCGCTGTCCTCTGGTAAAAATTAAGATTCCCTACTCGAAAATAGTTTCAAGCATTCCATGTTGGCTCACAAGAGGTTTTTCTCCATAACACTAGCATTTTTTCCAATGCAATTGAACCTCGAAAACTCACCAAACTTTCCTTCGCGGAATTTTCCCCCGAGTCCCTGTCTGGATTCCCTTCGAAAAAAAAAAAGCATTATAAAACTCCCGAATTATTCACAGGCTTTCCCGTCCTCAAACCCCAATAAGTCGAATTTTCTAAGGCTTTCTGGCTGCCATTTTATTGAATCAGGAACGAGAAAAGCAATAAAATTATAACCTGATGCGTTTCCAGAGGAAGTGGACGACTAATTGGGCAAATACACCCCTACCACCGAATCCGGAATTTCGTCAACCCATCAAAACGCAATTTTATGCCCTAAATATAAAAAAATTCAATTTCCCGTAATTTTGTTTCTTTTCCCTCACAAAAATGCTTGTCTCTCAAACTCGACTATTTTTGGCTCGTCCCTTGAATTTCGACCAGAAAGGAGTTGACTGCAATTCCTCGCACGCTAAAAACACATCCATTGAAGTCACAAAAATATTTTCGCAGCATACCTCAATGATTCATTGATAAGTGAAAGCAAATATTGTTTTTGCTGTGGGTTATCAAAAATTGTTGATCATGCCAAATAAACTTGCATGAATATTTCTAACGGCAGGAAGTATGTTATCTTTCATATCCGAAATCCTATCAGTCATCACTACGTGAAAAGGAACAAGTGAAAATTGAATAATAGTAAATATTACGATAAATTTTCAATGAAACACTTCAAGTGATGCCTCAGCATATTTTATATCACTGGCTTGAAAATATACGGTAACTACAACTTCACAGGAAAAACTCGCATCTTCCGACACTCTGGAACGATATAGTTGACAACGATTTTCTCTATAACTACGAATTTATATTTGGTCCAATAGGGTTCTTTCTACATGTTATACGGGTTCTCCACAACGAAATTCAACGGGCCAGGAATAAATTCGTTGTAGAAAAAGAATTGTCGTAGAATTTTTTCAGGATCCATTAAATTTCGTCGTGGACGAGGGAGTCCACCTTACTCGAAAATCCAGCGCTATGTGCACGAAAAGTTTCAAGATAAACAACTTTTTGTTTCTGCTCATGCACAGAAGAACTTTTTACCTTTTCTTGATTAAAATGATTTCATGGCTTGTCCTCAAATCAAGACATGCGCATATAGCCGAAGATAACATCAAATCTTGTAAGACCAAGTGCTCACAGGAGCCAGCGTGAGAAGTACATATGGAAGCAGCATGTCTTGTCAATTTTGATCAGCTTATTTTCTTTGTGCAGTTAAATTACACCTCTCAACAGCTGAAAGTAAAATAAGGCAATGAAACAACTCAGGGAGTATCATTCATTACGAAACTGGTTGTGGATTATTTCCCCAGTTCCTCATGAGGATATGGCGCTCGGTTTGAAATGCTCAAGAAGACAATAAAAGATACATGCAGTGGAGCCGAGGTTCAAGGATTCTATGGGAGAAGTGGTGAGAAATTCCAAATTTTAAATCTTTATCCTAAGGAAGAAATGCTTAAAATACTATGGCTTGCATATGGTTGAGGGGACTTTGCGTCACTTACCTAAAACTACCCAATTGCCTTTCGGGTATAGTGCATTGAAATTTCATACAGTTTTATGTCTGTGTAGATAAATACGCGGGTTCAACGAATCAGATACCATTACAGTACTGTATTTACTTAAAACCTATATGAGCACTTACTTTCTCAAAATTGAAAGGAGAAAAGGACGTCACGTGTCATAGGCGGGCGTACTTTTTTTTGAGTTTTAGAAATTCAGGTATGCAATATACTTGATACTAATGGGAAGTTATTGACCAATTTCAACAGAATATCTACGGAAATGAAAATGCTTAAAAATTAGTTGAATTTACGTTCAATCCATGCTTAAATTCAAATACAAGTGTTCCTATTTCCGAAAGGATTTAGTTTCAGTTACTGAAAATGGGGTGGGTGTTTCACTCGATCGGGGATGCAATTTAAAATGTTATCAAACTTTTAAGCGGGAAAATTCGGGTACGTGTCTCACTTATTGAAGGTGTGTGGTGCTCAAGTAATAACGGTACTTCCCTGTTATCTCAGTACCTACTTTCTGTGCACCTACCAGAAACTGTGACTTATCTTTCCGCATTCTGCTGAAACTGATTTTGGGAGGCAGTTAGGTAAAAATAGGTTAGGTCAGGTTATGTTAATTGAAAGATATTTGTAACTAACATAACCTGACCTAAACTAACTTGTTAGTTAGAAATATTTTTCTGCCTCCCAATGTTATGTTAGTTACAAAAGTTAGATTATGTTAGTTACAAATATCTTTCGATTAACATAACCTGACCTAACCTAACTTAACTTTACCTGACAGCCTCCCAAAATCAGCTTCAGGAGAAACCCAAAGAAAGCCGAAACTGATTTTGGGAGGTACTGAGATAACAGGAAAGTACCGTAATAACGATATTCAGTTCGGTTGATAAGAGTTTACACGACAAAACTTGTCGGATAATAAATACAATTTGCCAAGTTCCTCATAATAATCATAACATATTCGGTTATTTGTTCGATATATTTTCCGGGTTATTCCGGATTTTAGATCATACAGGGGTTGATGACTTAAATAAAAGGATGTTTTGTTGCAAATCCAACTAACCTGAGAAGTGCTGTTCAACCAGAAATGCGCCAAGGATGAACCGCATGTCCGCGTTTCCCCAAATACGCTTCCGTGTGACCACCAAAGATGAAGTCACGATAATTATCCCACCGTCTTCCTCCACACTAGGATCTTTCGAAGTAACCGTGAACGGAAACCTGATGCACTCGAAACTTGACACTGGTCAGTTCCCCGATGAGCAGGAAATCGCAGATAAAGTCCTCGAAGAACACATGCGAAACACGGAATCTTCAATTCCCGCCAACGACGAACCGAAGAAGAAGCGAACTTGTGCTTGCTGTACCCTGCAATGAATCTGAGGATCCACTTTATGACGCGGAAATCTGAAACGCACGAGGAATTCCGTCGATGAGTCCTAGATGTCTTTTCTGAAATTGTCTTCTCAATCATTAAACTGGTTACATACTAACTTGGTGTGCATTGATCACGTGTGCGCAGAAGCGAAAGTCTCGAACTCGGACAAGCAAGCGCCAACAAAGCTAGTGTGTGAGGCTGAGGTGTAAAAATATTCCACTAAATAAATTTCGAGTTTTTAAGGATAGCCTTTTTTGTGGCTCAGGATGATTCTCATGAGCATGTTAAAACTATGAAGTCTTTCGCATCCCATATTGTATCATACAGTATCTCCAAATTTGAAAACTCAGGTTATCCTTGGAGCTACGAAATTTGTGTCGAAGAAATGTTGAACGTGAAACCAGTCGGGAAAACTTGAAAAATCATAGAAACAAATTTTAGGAGTTGAAGAATAAATCTTTTGGCCATTTCAGAAAAATGAATAAGCAAAGCTTTCACAAGGGTCGAACAGGAAAGATGCACAATAATCGTCTTCATGCGAATGCCACAACTTCATATTCGTTAAATTATGTTTTCGCCGAGGATACTAGGAAATATCGCACTTACCAGATGAAAACTCACGAGTTTTAATCCCCCTTTTTTCTTTCCTCCACAAATTGCTGATTGGTTCCGGTCATCGTGACAATGCCTTTCCTTCCTCCAAGTGCTTATTTTCCTTCAAATGATTCCTCATACAGCAATTTATTTTTTCCAAGACGTTGGTTGACGAAGGAGTTTTCTGAATGGGCCATGAGATTATACAGAATACAATTGTGTGCTTAAAATAAATTCGTCTCTAATAAATCATTTTCAAAATTCAAAGGGAATGCATAAAAGTAAATTAAAATCTCAGTCCTGCCTAATGTAATCAAATTTGAAAATTGATCATATTCTAGACTGATCTCTTCAATGATAACCACGAAAAGTCTGGAGTGAACCACCAGAAAATATTTAGCAGTGAAAATATTGAACACATTTTCCTGGAAGTAAGTATCGCAGAAAGCCAAGAAGTCAATTCTAAAAAAATTTAAATGCCGCCCCATAATTTCTGTGGTTCACGTTTCCGGATATTTTTTTCAGTCATTTTTTTCGGGGAAACGAGGTATTGTACCTTGAAAATTGCCTCATAACCTAAATTAACTCTAAAATGAGTATAAATCAAATTGAATTCCACTTGTTTCGTTAATTTAGCGCTCAAAATCCTATAGATTCGTTTCGAGTTCGTCATCGGAACGATATCTTCAAGCTATGGAAATTGAGACACTTCGTCAAGTTTTCCTCCTTTCCCCGTTAATTTTTTTTTTCAAGTCTGCATGAACAGATTTAAATTCCATCAAGGTGTATTGTCGAGGCTGAAGCCACCGCCGCTGTTGAAGACACGTCGAAAGTTTTTTAACGATCAAAATATGAACTGAAAAGCATTCACATAACCTTGCAAGGCTGAAAATTAAAGGCCAGATTATTCACAACTCCAAATTTTACTATGAAGCCCGAGACTTCTAGGAAAAGGAGCAGTAATTCGAAACGATCTAGCGCTCAGCACCGCTTGTTCTCGGAGGAGAAGCTCGAGAAAAGAAAACCTTCACACAGCGATGTAAGTTAACTAACAGGCCTTCAAAAGTTAGATGCGTAATTATTTTCGTCTCAGGGAAATCGAAGTCCCCTTCCGGCTGCGTGGGTGACCCAACCAATTTTGGGAAACGAGAAGACGAAGCACAACAAGGACTGTCCACATCGGCGGCGCGAAAAACTCGAGGCAAGTAAATCATTCATGCGATTATTTAATTAATTATTGTATAGCAAATGTTATCAGAAAAATGCACAGAAAACCTCTGAATTTAATCCATATTCAAGGTACCGTATACAAGTGAATGCCGTATTTAAGAGATAACTTGACCCTACCCTCGAGAACTCGGGGATTGTTAAGCCAGCGTGGTATCTTTCCATGGGATAAGCATTTAGAAGTTTCTTACACCGGAATTTTCAGTTACGTATCAATTTTTGATTAAGCCTCATGCTAGTACCATTACGCTGAATTCCACTGTCTAGGGGGAATCGGGGTTATCTTCATTTCCTCGAAGAGTAAAACTTAATTGATGGTAATAACTAATAATTATTTCAAGCGACTGAAAGACAACATTTTTGAATTGAAGACGCAATTTTCACACGTTACATGTTTGCGGAATCAGAAGAGGCTTTTGATTCAAAACGAACATCTTTAAGCCCAAGATTCTTAAAATTGTGGCCAATGTTTATTTTTATTAAAAAGATCACGTTGGCCTGAAATATTCTGCCATCAACCTGAGCTTATATCACTGAGGAAATTTAATTCAGGTACACAAAAAATAACGTTTTTCACACGAGTATACAGCATTAGTGGGATTGTGGGGGCCAAGACCAACTTCTCCGGTCTTGTCCCCCAAAAATTCGATTTGAGAAATAATCACCCTTCCTTGACATTTTAAGCACCAAAATCACAGCCTAAAGTTCCACACGCATACATCAATTTGTCCCTATTGTTCACAATCTTAAGAAAGCCGAGAAAACCATAAAGAGTTTCACTAATTCTGAGAAATCCGACGCCACTCGGAATATCCAACACTTGCACCGACAGCGGAGTTGGTGAAGGTTTCATACACGAACAGGAATCCGCCAGCGACCATAAAAGCCTTCGAATGAATACCTACACGTGTAGTGTGGTTACTCTCCGGCTGAAGGCTGGCACTTACTCGCAACACATAAAATTTGTCGGCTTCTGCTCGCAAGCCGAACATGTGCGGTGAAAGAAAACAAGCACCATGAGCGTCCCGAGTGAAAACGTAAATGCCGCTGACGTACTCCGGAAACGCATCCGAGGAAAGCGCCCAGACAACTGTCAGCATTCTCCTCCTTGTCAACCAAGCAGGCTGGATCCGGGCGTTTTGAGAAAAATTAGGGCTAACATCGACGTAAGCGGTTTCACCGACGGAAGCTTTTCCCGCAAATGAGCTCCAACCTTCATCAATCTTCTTTTGCATTTGCTTTTATTATATACGCCCTAATGAAGGGGAGGGATACGTAAAAGAATTCATACTTCCCGCTAGAAAAATGAAGAATACTCAAACATCGAACACAACTCACCTGATTTACTCAGGTACCAAGCTCACTGTAAAAAAAAAACGGTGTTCCTCGTACCCGAGATAAATTCATTGAGAGAAAACCCCGAATTGGAAAAAATGAAGATGCAATGGGTGATGCCAAGTCTCACTGTCCTTATTTAGTTATTTTAAGCAATAACATTTTCAGTAGTATTAAAGCAGCAAACATCATTCCTTTCATTTTAATTTTAGTTGGAGATGCAACAGGAAGGATAAAGTATTAGTGTAATCTAATGGAGGAAGCTGTCTTATTTTCTGCTGATCATTATTTTTCAGACAGTAGGGATCAGGAAAGAGTGAAAGACACGGTAATGTATTGATAAAAACAATTGAACCACACACAAGTGATTTCAAATTAGTGATTTTCAGCGAAAAAAAACTGGGTCGCGCGTCTTAACGCGGAAAGGAGCGGGTCTCAATCGAGAAAACAAACAAATGGAAAAATTCCGTCGATCATATAACTTCCTGTCCCAAAAACACTTCAGACTTGTATAACATGCTACCACCGTAATCAATTTCATCCACTACCCTTGAAGAAATGACTACCAACGAAGGAAGTCATTTTGATGCAACGAAAGTCGTCGTCGCTGGATCACTGTTAATTAGAAACTCCTAACCAACCGAAGGGAAAACCATCGCTTTCAAAACTGAAATACTAAGAGCTCATCCAGTCATTGACTGATGATTGACATTTCTTAAATGATCACCAGCTGCTTCGTTTCTGCAATTCTTACCCTGACAGATTCAAACTCGATTGGCGATATTAGATGTACTATACTGAAACACCTAAAGACAAAAAACTGGGACTACGTGAGATAGTCTTCAACTCGACATTTTTCTAATGACTCTCTTGCACGAGAAATCAGCGCTTAGTGAAGGATTATGTTCCTCACAAGAAAGCTTTAATGTTCCATAAAGTAATCCACCAGAATCTTATGCTCAAATTCAGGGACGCAGAACACCACTACGGAACCTGAAGCTGGTTGAAATCAGCTAATGCACTCATCAGTATTTTTTATCAAGATACATGGCTAATTCCCCACAATGTTTCACGTAGGAACGAAAGGCATCGCCGTCGAGAACTTCGTCATTGTCTTCGGTCACGTCGCGTAGCGACCGTCACAATTATGGTCATGAAAAACGCCGGAAATCAGGCCACGACTTACACGTGAAAAAGAGATACAACGACGACGACGAGGAAGATCGGTCCACGAGAAGGAGTTATCATAGAGGAAGGGAACATCGCAGAAGCGGAAAAAGCCGTGGACGACGCAATGACTCGCGAGAGAGAGGGTTTCGGGATCGACTCTGCTGTGTGATGATGTGACACTCCCTCTTCTTTCTAAAATCTACGAAATTCTTTGTAAATGTTCCGTTACAGTACTATTTTAGATCTTCTGCATTACGCAATTCCCAAATAGCGATCCATGCCTCGAAATGAAATACAACTTACGATTTGAAAATATTTTTTACGAGTTTCTCATCGGTATCATTCGTCAGCTCAAGTCTTCTTGACAGGAGCGCAGTAAAAATCTTCCAATTCAAAACTCTTCTTCGCTGCGTTCATTTCCAGCTTGCGGTCCATCAATGTGATCACTGGAATAGGAATATCGAATTCATTTCAATCTGCAATTGAGAGCAGTTTTTAGATTTTAAGGTTAAAAGATCAGATCATTCAGCAATTCTGCATAAGTTTGGAGTGTAACAGGATTAATCCAATCACAACTTAACCGGATTCCAGGCACGTAGCATACTCACCATCTCGATTTATCTTCAATTCTTTTTCAAGTTCAGCAACTTTATCTTCTCGTAACTTCGTTTGCGCGGCTTCTGCTGATTGCTGTCTGACATTTTCCATCACTTGTGTATGCTGATGAGCTTCTTTCAATATCAACTCATTTGCATCGATATTGGCCTTCAGTTCAGAAGAAAATCTTTCGAGCGATTCAATCTGCAGTAATAAATGAAACCTCTTGAGGATAATCATTCTAGTCATAGGGTAAATTCGTCATCACGCAAGACTTTTCGTGAGCATTATTCAAACTCAAGTTGTAGACTTGCAGGTCACAGAAGTATAGAGTATTTCTGGAATTATTGTAAATATATTTTTTCTCTGCACCAAGGTTCTAACTTGAATCACTGTGTAGACATATTCAATTGAATTCATGGCGCAGACTTTCCATTACTTTGACCACATTACTTGTGGCGTAGCCGACGAGAGATATTGAAATTATATACAGGTGAACTCTCTCAAACGATCTTGTCTACAACGATTTTCACTGGAGAATGAATTTTATGGTCCAATAGGATGTATTTTCCCCGAATTTTCATAAGGATATTTTTGAAGATATGCATCAAGTCATGCCAATTCCCATTTCTGACAAGGTTTTGTCTATTTTAACTTTATTAGAAGTCTTTTAAGTTTTAACCGTTCGAAATTTTAAAGACGATGACCTAGATGAATTCCTTTTCGTCTCCCTGGCTGATCGATGCTGTATGAGCCTTCGGTTCAAAAACTTGAACATGCACATACCTTGCTCAAAAGGTTCCCAATGCTTCCTTGCAATGTAAATTTGTCTTTGGTTAGGCTTAGCAAGTCAATCCCAAGTTTTTTGACAGTGGTCGTTCGTTTTTGCAACAGTTCAGCTGCCGCAGACTCCTGAGAAGCAGTTCTGCTCTGAAATGAAATAATCTCGATATACTGCCTGAGTATGAACGGCAAAAACGTTTAAAAGCTTACCAGAACTTGCTTCAATTGCGCGCACTTATTTTCCAAATCTTCGATTTGATCCTCGAGGTCAGACAACACTTTCTTGTCGGCGTCGATTTGGCGCTGCAAATTTTTAATCTCCTCCTTCACAACTTCGGTTTCCTCTAGACCACGCTTCCTACCTTCTTCGGCAAGATCCGTCCGCTCACGCAATGAGCTACTTGATCAGACCATGGGATTTAGATCACTCGTGAATCCAGACATGAAGTAAGACATACCGGACTTGGTCTTCCAGCTCCGCCCTTTCTAAAGCAACCATCTCCGCTTTACGGTTCAGAGCGGCCTCCGAAGTCTTGCACTTCTCTAGGCGCGATTCTTCTTGACGTAGCAAGTGTTTCCGCTTCTTATACTCCTGAATGCAATCATCACGTTCCATACCAGTAACTGAAGGGGCATAATACTGTATCACTCACTCGCCGACGCTTTTCATCCGACTTCTCCTTCTCTTCCATTTCTCTACGATTCTTTTCAGCCTGATGTTCCTGAACCGTTTTACGCAGTTTGTCTTCAGTGTAGCGTAGATTTTTCATTTCCTCTTCGTACCGGCCACGCTTGGATAAAATGTCCTCATCCAGCTTTTCATCTCGTTGACATTGAGCCCGAATCCTCCACTGTATCACAGAACAATCCCCAGTCAAACACACGGAATTTCGACTTACTAGAAGACCGAAGTCCACCCAAACGAACGTGAATCTTATCTAGATCATGAAGAAGAGCTTCAAGAGCCTCTGCCACTGACGCTCGAGAGCAAGGTAACGAGATCAATGAAACTGGTCTGAAAGTTCCCAAATCCGTCACTTCTAGATGCAACAAACCGGACTGCTGCGTAAGTTTCAGTATCCTGAAATGAGAATCCTCATTGAACCTGACCGAACTGGAGATAAGCTCAACCTACCTCGCAGACGATTCTCCCGCACAAGATTCCAAGAGGCTCGACACGTGATTAATGAATTCCATCATAGATCCTTGAAAACGCTTCTTTACTGATGCGAATGAGTTCTGCGTAACTTGAGCGAAATATACCGCTGCAAGCTGACCGTCGTCAAGCTGCTCGGCTAGTCGCACGGAAAAAACCTGCGATCAAATGTGAAGAATGGTATAACACGGAAAAAAGAAAAGGTGATGACCCTTACTCACTGTTGGTTCATCCTTGCAAAAGAGCTTAATTTCGCTCCGGCGAATCAACTCTTCTCCTGAGTTTCCAACAACTGCCAACGAACACTGGAAACGCTTAAATTCCGACGAGGAATTCACTAACTGGATGACATCTCTCAACATTTCTGCGCGGGCATCCGCCGCTAAACTGAACCTCAATGTAAATGAACGTAGCGATCTGAAAGTTCGGCACTTGAATCTTATGAAGAAATACAATCACATGAAATAATACGCTTGCTGACTTCACAGAACCAAATGGCACGCAGCGGTAAAAACTAAACTATTGTACGTTGATTTGTGACGATTCACTAAGCAAAGTTGGCTCCGACTTGCTTACAAATTTGCCGCGCTCTCGTTTCCGTTCAAGTCCACGGCCCGTCTCCGGAGTTTCAGTCTTAAACTCACACAATAGATGTCACTGCTCTTACACGAAAGCATACAATTCACACAGATGTCGGTCTAAAGAACGCGTAACTAGACAAAGTTGAAAGAAAAAGAAAACACTTTCTTGATTCAATTTTTTTTTATTTCCATGCGCTAACATTGTCCCTCCACATGTAGAAGAAAAAAGCGGAAATGCTCCGGAGAGCATTTCTGAGATCACTGCTGGTTGGCAGAAAAAGGAATAAATCGCTTCCGAATAACAAAATTGCCTGAATTTTCTTTCGTAATTCTCTTTACTCGTATACCTTGGCTTCATGCTTCTTTTGGATTATGAAAATTTCCAAAATCTCGAATGAGCAGCAATTTAAATGAGGAATCAAATTAACTTCATGCTTTCTTTCGGAAAAAAAAGATTTTCTTTTGAAAAGATTGTCACTGGTGCAAAACATATTTAACTGAATTAAAATCAACTAAGATGTACAAGGAAACTTGCCACCAATAATTTTTGAGCATCAACACACGCAGGATTAAAGAAGTCGATCAAAGCAAATATTTATACAACTTAAAATTGCCATATCTGGCTAACAATGTGCTTCGGGCCAGGGTTTAAATTGAGAATTTTGATCAATGAAAAGTTAGCCATTTATTTTTATTTTCATTTTAAAACAAGGATCCAACATATAGCGCAGGTTTTACTTGATTCCGTTGGACGAAACCTGGATGTTCTTAGTTATGCATATGAGAACTCAATTTCGAAGCACGTTAGAAATCTTCCCGAACACTCTTTTCTGTAGTTGGTATACAAAACAACCGGTACTCCATATAGAAAACTGTTACTCGGATATCTTGTGTAACACGGTGTGTAAGTCTATCGAACGTCAGCTAGGTTTATATATTGCACGCTTAAGAGCTACAACCAGGATAGGGTCTCAAATTGATCGCCACGCCTCTGAGAATCCAGTGCCTTTCCGGTTTGTCAGTCGGTACGAACCAGTTGGCCAAGGGAAGCTGGTTATTTTCCTCCGTTTCCATGCCTAAATACGTGGACCGGTGCAACTCGAAAACTGGGCACTTGTAAAATGACGAAGAGGGCATTTCCCCAACCGATTTCTGCACAGGCTTCAGGAGAACCTATATGATTCAAACAAAGTCAGAACATGACTGTCCGGTATAAAAGTTTTTATTGAAAATTTTGGCTTCATTGGTGTTAAAAGTCTACTCTGCTCTATATATACAGTATACGAGGGTTGGTTTGTAAAAGATGATAAACTGCCACTTGCCGTCATTGGAGGCGGATACAATTTTTTCTTTTGCTCTTCAATTCTTCATTGGTGCCTTATAAGATGCGGACGTAATTGGTGCATCAAGAGTGTCCCCAAGTTGAAATGTCCCTAAGTCAAGTCTTGTTTTCCCATAGACTTACATTATATAATTTTTATTGTCCCTATGTCGAGTCAGTGTCCTCATGTCGAATCATTTTTTAAAAATTTTTCTGCAAAAATAAATGTCCCTAAGTCGAATTGTCCGCAGGTCGAGGCGTCCGCATGTGGGGGTCTCACTGTACATTTTTTATATTTTTTTAATGACTATTCAGCTACAGAAGGAAACAAGAAAAATACCTGGATCCACTGAATACCCTCAATTTGAAGTGGACTGAAGTGATGTTTACCACGTAATTTCCAAAGTCATAGAGTGTGCATTCAGTTGATCAATTAAACTTCACTTCAGTGGAACGGATTCACTGCGATCCAGGTCTTTTTCTTGTTTCCTTCTGGGGCTGAGTAATCCATTATAAATATATTAGACACCAAGGAAGGATTCCAGAGCAAAAGAAAAAAAATTGCATCCTCCTCCAATGACGGCCTGTGGTATTTTAACATCTTTAACAAACCAACCCTTGTATTTACTTCAGTACGTGAGTATGTCACCGACCACAGCCGCACGACTACCGTACTTTGACATGCCGGTATACTCTTATCTCAGGGCATAACTGAATGCGAAGCGCTCGCAGTTTACATGTGCATGGTTTAAAGAAAACAGAAAAAACCAAATGTAACACTGTACTGTACAATAAGGTTCTCTGACGGAATGTTGAAGGAATGTAGACGTGACGTCAGCACACACACAATGTATTAGGCTCAGAGTAGCAGATCAGCGATCACACACACACAGGTTCAAAAGGATGTGAGCAGTTGCCAGGAATGCAATGGAATGAGGAAATGAATAGACAGGCACGCGATCTCGTAGACATCCGGGCGCCCGGTTATTATAACAGGTTCTGAATATAGTTACACAACGACCGGTAGGATACTGCTAGTGAGGGCGTGAAGCCCTTACTCTCCCCCCCCGGGGGTTTTGTTGGTTTGACGCATGAGGAGAGATGGCGCAATGACGAGGTACAGCAGCGGCATCAGATACAGAAGTAGAGGCATCAGAACAGGAAGGAAGCTGGACCTCCAGAGTTGACCGAGGTTGATCAGGAACAGAAGTGGTAGAAGACAGGGTTTGCAAAGTAGTGCCTTTATCCGCTGCCGGAGATGGTTGAAGCCTACTAGTGAATTTAGTAAGCTCCCAGGCATTCACCACCTGAAGATGAGGACCATTGGCAACCTGGTATTGACCTTGACCAAGATTGCGCACGACCATGAAGGGTCCAAGTTAGCGTGTCCGGAAACGACGCTCAGCAACATGACGATGTTGATTCGGTAGACGAGGTACAACTGACACAAAGTCACCAGGTTCAAAGTGAGGTAAGCGTCTTTGGTTGGCTTGGTGAAGATAGGACTGCTGAGCTTGATTGGTTTGGTTTTGCACATCCAAATTGGTTGGTATTTTGACATCCGTTGACACATTAAAACGCTCATCAGCCAGTCGAGTGACAGGACGCTGGAAAAACACCTCATATGGGACACCACCAGTAGTAGAATGCGGCGTTGCATTGTAAGAATTGACACAGGTCCTCAGCACCAAATCCCAACTTTTAGGGTCAGGAGAGGTCTTGGCCAGAATGCGCCCAAGTGTCCGTATTGCTCGCTCACAACACCCATTGCCCTCAGCGTGGGTCGGGTGAGCTGTGTGGTGGGAAATATCATTCAATTCCAAAAATTGCTCAAATAATTTAGATCGAAAAACAGGATCCGCATCATTGTGAATTGCTCGAAATGTGCCAAAGTGCGTAAAAACATCCGCAAGAAAAGACATTGCAGTTTGCGTATCAGCATTTGAAATAGGCATTGCAATCGCGTATGTGGAAAAATAATCAACCGCAAAAAACACATAACGATGTCCCCGCGGCGTCATTGGCAGTGGACCATAAAAGTCAATTCCCAAGCGCTCAAAAGGTGCTTTGGTTGTGACAGGGCTAAAATGCGTACCAACTCGCGACACCGGATCATTAAAAGTAAAACATGTCTGACACTGCTGCAACCGTTCCTTAACTGATGTTCGCATGTGAGGCCAAGTAAATCGATCACGTAACACAGGATACACTTTTTTCCTCATGGTCCTGTGCAGCGATGGAGTCATCACAGCTTCCCCTTAAATTCAAAAGCAACCGTGATATTCGACAAACCAGCATGTATGGTGTTCACCAGAACGACATTTTCTAAATATTCGTGATTTAACCTCCTATATAAATTCAAATACAATTTATTTACGAATTTTCGCATGAATTCATCGGCATTTTTTGAAGTCTTGTTTATTATTCCCATCATCGACACTTTTATATCTTTTCAATCGGAAATTTGTGCTTATTTAAAGAAGACCAGGGCTAATTTTATTGCACTGATCTATTGTTAGCATCAGTTTAGCTGAGACACGAACGCGGACGCATCCACAATAACTTAATTCGGGGTTGCAACAATTTTAAATATGATGGGTGTTACAATTTCTAAGTGTTTTAAAGTTTAACGTTCAACGGGCAGACAAAGTTAAAAAATGCTCGTCGTATAGAGAGTAAAAGAATAAGTGGATTCATGTACAGCATTCACCGACGATGAGACGATGACATGTGGACAGTTTTGATGAGGAAACATACCCGAATAATGTGAGTAAGTTCCTTTTATTGCGTTTCGCAATTGTAAGCTGCATTTGATGAACGCTTTTTTTTAAAACATCTGTTATAAACTTAAAATGCACTTCGATCCGCAGATTGCACTTGTACATTTTTGAGAGAGCTTGCGATTGATTTGCCGCATTTACAACACATTATTTATAATTCGCATCTCATTCAGGCGTTTCTTTATTTTTAGTCCCGCCTTACTGAAAAGACAGCATACAAGAGTCGACTTCTTCGGTTATTGATCCATGCTTGCTAATATGGTTGAATAGAGTAAAAAAAAATAAAGGAAATTGGTCGTCCGATTTCTTTCTCACCATCAAGAACCTTTTGAACTTCCACCAGAGACTCATGAATGATGGAGAGCAACACGTTATAGCTCTTGACTTCCCAATCCATGGCAACGGTAATATGATCCACAACTTCCTGTCGCTGTTCAGCATCCTCCACAGCATGCAAAGTAAGTTTGATGGGGTCCAGGCTCTTCGGAAACGTTCTCATTAGCCTCAGGACAAGTTGGGAGATCAGATCAACATCAAGAGTGTCCCACGGGCAGTCGTACCTCTGTATAGAAAACATCATGTAAAACACAAACTTGCAAAGTATGTCATATAAGCACACTCAATTCCCAACCGTGGAACTTTTCTTGAAAATGTCACTCTTGATTCATAACTTCACTTTTTTTGTTTTTCGCAGAAGAATCACTCTCCCGGCATTCACAAGATTTTGACCTCGTCAATATTTCTCAAAATGTCAAGAGTACGTC